GCCTGGGAAAGCACCCACATAGGAGACCCAGAAGCCACCTGCACCCACATAGGAGACCCAGAAGAAGCTCCTGGCTCCTTGGCTTTGGCCTGGCCCAACTCCGGCCGTTTTGGCCATTTAGGGAATGAACCAGTAGATGGAAGACCTTTCTCTCTGGCTCTCCCTCTCTCTGTCTGTAACTCTACCTCTCAAATAAATTTTAAAAATTATAAAAAAAACTCAACTTCAAAGAAATGAGATGGCACACCTGAAACACGCAGAAGTGAAAATCTAACAGCCATCGTTACCATATCAACACCATATCCTTCCCATCTTTGTTTGTTTGGAAGGCATCTGCTGGTTCACTCCCCAAATGCTCACAAGGCGGGGCCGACCAGACTGAAGCTAGGAATCCACAACTCTGTTTGATGACTCCCACACCGGTGGCAGGGACCCAAATACTTAAGCGATCACCTGCTTCTTCCCAGGGTGTACACCGGCAGGAAGCTGGAAACAGCAGAGGTAGGACTCGAAACTAGGCACTCTGATACAGGATGCAGGTGTCTCTCAAGAGGGAGCCTGACCACCGTGCCAAATGCCTGCCCCTCCATCTTTTTTTCTATACACACAATAACTTTTTAAATTTCAATATATTAATTTACAGATTCCAAAACAATGAACTGTTATAGGCACATTGAATAGCTCTTAACTTTTCAAAGAAAGGGTTTTTTTTTTTTTAAAGATTTATTTATTTTATTTGAAAGAGTTACAGAGAGAGAGAGAGAGAGAGAGAAAGAGAGGACTTCCATCCCATGGTTCACTCCCCAATTGGCCACCAAGGCCAGAGCTGCGCCAATCCGAAACCAGGAACCAGTAGCTTCTTCCAGTTCTCCCATGCGGGTGCAGGGGCCCAAGGCCTTGGGCCATCTTGTACTGCTTTCCCAGGCCATAGCAGAGAGCTGCATCAGAAGTGAAGAAGCTGGGTCTCAAACCGGTGCCCATACGGGATGCCGGCGTTTCAGGCCAAGGCATTAACTTACGGTGCCACAGCGCCGGCCCAGAAAGAAAAATTTTTTGAGAGACACAGAAAGAGCTCCCATCTGCTGGTTCACGCTCCCAAAGGCCCACGATGGCCAAGGCTAGACTGCGATGAACTAAATCCTGGCTCCCACATGGATGGCAGAAACCCAATTACTTGAGACGTCATTGTTGCCCTCAAGGTCTGCATTGGCAGAAGCTGTGTACGGAACCAGGGCTGGTTACTGAACCAGGCTGACCCACGGGGGACACAGGCATCTTGGCTACTAGGCTAAATGGCCAGCCCACCTCTTTTCTGCTTAACCGGCCTTTGTAATTGTATGTTCATAGGAAATACTCTGAAGCATGAATTAGACAACCAAAATTAAGAATTACAATGTTTACACACCTGTAAAATGGCAATAATACACCTGCCCACTAATACCTCATCAGGAGCATCATAATCAATTGGTTTTTTTGTTTATATTTTCCCACTAAAATATAAACTCCAGAGGGGCAACAACCTTGTCTTTCTTATTCTGCACTTTGTTCCTAATATCGCCAGATTGTATGACATGTCATTTCTAAATAATAGAGGAAGTGAACAAACTCATTTCTTGTAATGTTCAAATGAGATAATCTATGTGAAGGCACTAGGTAAACTCCAAAGCACCACCCATGCAAATAATCCTGAGGAAACATACAGCACACTGCTGCTTGCTCTCTGTGTATTTCTCCTAAAACTGAGCACACAGAAAATGTAGGAAAAATACAGTGGCAAAACCAGACAGCAGACTTTCTTCCCAAGATTTCCAAATTGCAGTATCACTTCTTAGCTCCATCAAAAATCTACACTCCTTGTTACATAGTGGTTGAAGAAGTTTAGCAAATATAAGAGACTATAGGCAAAGTAGAAAACATCATTCTTCTGGGGAAAAATATAATAGAAATAATTTATATTTAACCAAATACATTCCATTACAATTGATATTCCATTACAATTGATATTCTTAAAAATTCAAACATCGGGAGCCCGCGCCGCGGCTCACTAGGCTAATCCTGGGCACACTGGGTTCTAGTCCCGGTCGGGGCGCCGGATTCTGTCCCGGTTGCCCCTCTTCCAGGCCAGCTCTCTGCTGTGGCCAGGGAGTGCAGTGGAGGATGGCCCAAGTGCAGTGCTTGGGCCCTGCACCCCACGGGAGACCAGGAGAAGCACCTGGCTCCTGCCATCGGATCAGCGCGGTGCGCCGGCTGCAGCAGCCATTGGAGGGTGAACCAACGGCAAAAGGAAGACCTTTCTCTCTGTCTCTCTCTCTCACTATCCACTCTGCCTGTCAAAAAAAAAAAAAAAAAATTTTTCAAACATCGGGCCGGCACTGTGGTACAGTGGGTTAACACCCTGGCCTGAAGCAAGAGCATCCCATATGGGCGCCAATTCAAGACCTGGCTGCTCCACTTCCTATCCAGCTCTCTGCTATGGCCTAGGAAAGCAGTAGAAGACGCCTAAGTCCTTGGGCCCCTGCACCTGCATGGGAGACCCAGAAGAAGTTCCAGGCTCCTGGCTCCCGATTGGCGCAGTTCCAGCCACTACGGTCAACTGGGGAGTGAACCAGTGGATGGAAGACCTCTCTCTTCCTCTCCTTTCTCTATGTAATTCTGACTTTCAAATAAATAAATAAATATTTTTTAAAAAATCAAACATCAAGTTCAAAAATAAATTTAAAGTCCCTTTGGATCATTATTTACAAACGTCAGAAAATGTAGGAATAAAAATTAAGCCCTGGGGCCCGATGTTGTGGCGCACCAAGTGCAGCCTCCACTTGTGACACTGTTTCCCGTATCAGAGTGCTGATTGCTATCCTGGCTGCTCCGTTTCAGATTCAGTTCCCTGCTAATGTGCCTGGGAAAGAAGAGGAAAGTGGCCCGTGTTTTTGCAGGCCCTGCCACCACTTGAGAGACACCGGGCTCCTGGCTTTGGTCTGCCCCAGGCCCAGACATGGCAGCCATTTGAGGAGTGAACCAGCAGATGGAAGATCTCTCTCTCCCTTACTCACTGTGACCTTTAAACAAACTAATCTGAAAAAAAAACAATAATAATTAATGGGCCGGCACTGTGGCATAGCAGGTAAAGCCACCACCTGCAGTGCTGGCATCCCATATGGGCGCCAGTTCGAGACCCGGCTACTCCACTTCCGATCCAGCTCTCTGCTATGGCCTGGGAAAGCAGTAGAAGATGGCCCAAGGCCTTGGGCCCCTGCACCCGCATGGGAGACCCAGAAGAAGCTCCTGGCTCCTGGCTTCAGATCGGCACAGCTCCAGCCATTGAGACCAATTGGGGAGTGAAGCAGCAGATGGAAGACCTCCCTCTCCCTCCCTCCCTCCCTCCCTTTCTCCCTCTCTTTCTCTCTCTCTCTGCCTCTCCTCTCTGTGTGTAACTGTGACTTTCAAGCAAAATAAATAAATCTTTAAAAAAATTAAGCTAAAAGGAGCAAGCAGGCATTGTAACTATAGCACCCCATATAATGCCATCATTGCAATGCCTGCACATATCAAGTGCCTGTTCAAGTTCTTACTACACCAAACAGGTGCAGGTTTGAGTCCCAGCTGCTCCACTTCTGATCCGGCTCTCTGTTTATGGCCTGGGAAAGCAGCGGAAGATGGCCCAAATCTTTGGGCCCCTGCACCCACGTGGGAGACCCAGAAGACACTCCTGGCTCCTGGCCTCAAATGGATCCAGCTCCAACAATTTTGGCCATCTGGGGAATGATGAACCAGCAGATGGAGGACCTCTCTTTCTCTCTGCCTCTCTGTAACTCTATCTTTCAAATAAATAATCATTTTTAAAAATTTTAAAATAAAAAAAAAAAGATAAGTTTCCTTGATGCATAAAAGTTTGGAAATCCATGTATCTTTTTTTCATAATCTGCATTTCCCATGAACTTTTTTTTTTTAAGATTTACTTACTTTATGTGAAAGGCAGAGCTACAGAGAGAGAGAGGGAAAGACAAAGAGAGAGCGATCTTCCATCCGCTGGTTCACCCCCCAACGTATAATCCAGTCAAAAACTGTAATCAATCACAAACATAAATGTCTGAAAAGTTGGCACAATAAAGACAGTACAAATTTTTTAAATTACAGTCTTCTACCTAATAAGGATTTTTTAACAAAGGAAAACAAATTTTTACAAATAACTACACTGCAGTTGTTTTCCAGGCTCCCAGAGGCTGCACGCTGCATTCCGGGCTGCTGCTAGGACATTTCATATTTTTGAGGGAAACACACATCTGCCCAACACCACACCAAAGATTAATTCACATTTGGTGTTGGCTCGCACCACGTGCCTCTCAATGAGTGCATCTTTGCAATGCTGGCTCCACAGCTGCTGTGACAAAAAGCGAGTACCAAGAGAAAATCAACGTGGAGCAAGAGAGTAAGCATGGTGCCCAACCCAGCTCCAACTATGAGGAGCCAGACAGTAGTAAGTAACTGCGGTTATGTAAGAATGAAATAAAAATACTATTCTTTCAAATTCATGTGTTGTTTTTTTTCAAATCACTTCTAACTTGTTAGGACGTATGTACTTTAGTAAGTTGTTCAGACCTAATTACTTTGGATTTGAGACACTATTCGGTGTGTCCTTTGGCCTAGGATGTGCTGTGAAAAAACTACCAATACATTTAGGGTGCCGTGAACTGAAAAGTTTAGGAACTTCTAATCTATTGTGAAAAAACCCTACCATTTTCCAAGAGAAGCATCTCCACTGGAGTCCTAAAAAGGACCAGAAGTGCTGCAAATTTCCTTCTTTTTTTACAGAGTGTGATAGAGTAAATAAAGAATAAGGCTCTCCAGTCACAGTCAGATTCCTGTGGGAAACCTGCCATATGGAGGACATATCAGGAAACACCTTCACCTCCTTGCAATGAGATTTTCCATACTTATTTCTGGAGGTCAGAAGCTCTATGGATCAACCAGAAAAAGCAACTTGGAGAAACGAGACAACCTACCGTCTGCCCCTCCACAGCAGCTCGCTGGCGCCCCAAGACGTCCTGCAGCTGAGTGAAATGCTGGACGAAGGCCACCACCTCGGCCTGAAAGCGCTGGGTGTGCACATACTGCACCGAAGCCATCCGCAGGCTCACTCGGACATCATGTTCTCTCCGGAGCAGAGGGTCAGGCCGGCCATACCTAGGAGTGAGGACAAAACTGATTCAGACACAGCAGCAAAATAATACTCAGTATTTGAAACAAGCCTGGCTGGACTTAGGGCCTTCCCCAGACAACAGTTATAACTATTAGAGCAAGCTCTAATAATTTCCCCCCCCCCCTTTTTTTTTTGACAGGCAGAGTGGACAGTGAGAGAGAGAAACAGAGAGAAAGGTCATCCTTTGCCGTTGGTTCACCCCACAATGGCCGCCGCAGCCAGCGCACTGCGGCCGGCACACCGCGCTGATCCGATAGCAGGAGCTAGGTACTTCTCCTGGTCTCCCATGGGGTGCAGGGCCCAAGCACTTGGGCCATCCTCCACTGCACTCCCTGGCCACAGCAGAGAGCTGGCCTGGAAGAGGGGCAACCGGGACAGAATCCGGCACCCCAACCGGGACTAGAACCCGGTGTGCCAGCGCCACTAGGCGGAGGATTAGCCTAGTGAGCCGCGGCGCCGGCGCAATTTCTCCCTTTCTAACTTTCTGCAACGTGTTGAAGACATTAAGTAACAGGGGCCGGCACTGTGCCATAGTGGGTAAAGTGGGTAAAGCCACCGCCTGCAGTGCCGGCATCCCATATGGGCACCAGTTCGAGACCCAGCTGCTCCACTTCTCTGCTCCAGCTCTCTGCTATGTCCTGAGAAAGCAGTAGAAGATGGCCAAGTCCTTGGGCCCCTGAACCCACGTGGGAGACCTGGAAGAAGCTCCTGGCTTCAGATCGGCGCAGCTCCGGCCACTGCGGCCATCTGGGGAGTGAACCAGCAGATGGAAGACCTCTCTCTCTGTCTCTGCCTCTCCTCTCTGTGTGTAACTGTGACTTTCAAGTAAAATCAATAAATCTTAAAAAAAGCAAATAAATAAATAACAGCCTGGCTTGATAACCAGGGCCATAACAGATGGGCAGCTCCAGGTGTTGAACTTACCCCTGATTCCAGAACTCATTCAGAGGTCACCTGGGGCTCTGACCTTTCACCTGTGCCTCCCTGCCTTGCCTTTAAAGGAAAGTGACTATTCCTGCTCACTCTGTTCCTGGCAGAGACTGTGACACTATGAGCTTGAAATGTAATAAAGAGAAGGTCATGAAATAATGGGTAAATTTGTAATGTAAACAAATTAAGCTAAACTCCAAAATCTAAAACTCTAAAATCTAAATTCTTATTGTGTTATACTCCTATGAATGATAACCCTGAAAATGAAGAAAAAGTCCTCAGACATCCTTCAGAACAGTTTGTCTCAACCCTGGTTAAATATCAGCACATTTAAAAAAATAAGAAAAGATCCGACCCTACCCTAGAACCACCAGTCAGAGCACTGAGCGGCAGATCTGAACACTGCTGCTTCCCCACATCTCTCACAAAAGCTGAAACCACCACCATAAACTCTGTCTTCAGAGAAAACCCCCTACAGGGGCTGGCACTGTGGCACAGCGGGCAAAGCCAGATAGGAAAGCGCCGCACGGGACCGAGTGCCCAGGTCACACAGCCAGCTAAGGCACAGCCCGCACGGCGATCTCAGCTACACCCTCTCTGCGTCTGAAGCCGGAGCAGCCCCTGCAGCGCACATCCATCTTAACGAAATGGAACAGAAATCAGGACCCCTCACAACCAGCCAGCCTTTCCGATTTTACTTAAGGCTAACACTTTTAAACCTTTTCTTTGTTGTTCAACCAACAAAAATTTGAAACAGCAGAGATCGTGACAAAACACTGAGTGAGAACAGACAGATATTTTTACTTGAAAGTCTGGAAGATGAGTGCCTCTTCCCCACTTGTGGTGAACCGCTCCCTGTAGAATTCTCCATGCGATGTAAGGTCGCTTAGAGACAGGCTCCCAAGGCTGCCCTGCAAGGCCAGGTCTCCCTCTAGGGATGTTAGAATTAGAAACATTATTAAGTATCTTTTTGTGTCAAACTCCTTAAACATATGTGAACATTTCTCCAAGTTGCATACACATGACTCAGACTTTTCAATCAAATTAAGTGTCAAAAACCAATTGTCACATTCCGATACACTCAGAAAAATATTTTATCCAACATTTCAAACCGTCTCAACATGGAAGTCTAAAAGGAATTGAAACAATACAGCAACATCACACATTAACATTTATAAGCAGAACTAAATGAAAATAATTATATATGCATTTTAAAGGGTAAATTCAGAGAGACACCTGGCCCTTTTTGAGATTAGACTAATTAGAACTAGTAAAACATCACAAGGTGTATTAATTGTGCTATGGATAAAGGCATAAAGGAGGGAGTGTCAGAAATACAACAGATATTCAAGCAACAGTAAGTGAGTCTTAGTGTGATTTAATAAAAGAACAAAATTAATGAAGTGTTAGACACTGAAGATCGAGATTTGAAGCTGCTGTTATCACAAGCAAAAGGCTGGGAGGAGAAACAAGGAGGACTGAATCGTGCACAGTGGGAATGTGTGCCTATAATGAATCATTCTTGGTATCTTCTAGAGCTGAAAAGCAAGACTCTAAACTGTTGCCTCCATAAAACAAAATATACCGCCCGATCACTACAAAACGATTACTAAAGTCAATGAACTTGGCAAGCTATTTTAGCTCCTGATCAGTCAATGATGCGTGCTTGTTTTTGATTCTTAATGTTTCCTAACAAAAACACCCAAGCTTCTTGCAATCTTGAAGACCAATCTCTTCTAGGAAGTTTTTCTGAAACGATTTATACCTACAGAAACCTCAGCTTCAGTTCACTCCTCCCCCAGACAGCATCCCTGTCGTTACCACGGCATCAAGAGTTGGGCTTTATAATCACCACTGTTTACTCGCATGGTGCTGAGGAGGGAACAGTGCTTTAATTAGCACTTTAGAAACTCCTGCTATTTAGAACTTGCTGTAATTCATCAATCGATGAATTACAATGAGAACTGTAATCTATAAAGGCCCCTTAGAAAGAATACCAGCTTTCTGCATACACCATGCCCTCTACTGGTAGCTCCCCCCACTCATGACAACAGAAAGGAAGAACCTATACCCTGGCTTCCAGAGACAGTCCTGTTACATGCCTGTTTCCAGATGTAATTATTAATATTGCTCCCTTTCACTCTCAAATATAACCCAATTTGGACAAAAATACTATATGGTAATCCTAGGTAGAATCTGTTAAAACGCAGAGAGATGCCAGGGCCCAGCCCAACCTACTGACTCTGGGAGGCAGATGGGGACATGGAGAAGACAAAAGTCAGTGCCAGACAGCCACACTTTGTACCAGCTATCTGTCAGCCAGTCTTCGGGAACCATTACCACAAATCATGGCCAGATCAGTAACCACAATCAAGTCTAACTCACATCGCACCCAGCATGCGAGGACAATCAGATCAGTGATCTGGACGTTCAAATGCTTCCCAGGTTTTACAAGTCTGACTCTCCCCCCACTTACCGATCATTTCCAGGTGCGCTACTAACTTGGACACACTGGCTTTAGCCAGCTCGCTGGTGGTCTTATTCAGCACAAGAGAGAGCGAATGAACCTAGGGTGCAGATGAAGAAGGCAAACGTTACTGGGCAAAGCAGTCTCCTCCAGGAAACAGAACAAAACCAACAAGTGCACAAAGACGCAGGAGACTGGAAGGTGAGGCTTCTAACGGCACCAGCTTCACTTCTGCTTCTCCAGCCACATGATCATCAGTGGAAGAGCTGGTTGGTCAGGATCAGCAAGGCAGTCAAGGCCACGTTCTGTGGTCTCTTCTCAGTGCCTGCCTTTTCCAGCCTCTGCCAGTGAGAAGTTTTACAAGATAAAACAATCCCGCTCATTTTGGTGTTCATCAGTAATACTGCACAATTCTGCAACAACTCGAACAGATTCATTAAGTAGTCTTAACCTATTAAGTCTCAGATTTTCATTTCTGTGCCTATTTCTATGACATAATATTTATTTCAAAGTTACCATAAGTGGTATGTTTACTGCTCCATTTAAGTCTTTATAGGTGTCCTATATAGAATAAAATAGGACATAATGGGTTAAGAAATTTGTCAAAGCAAAAGGATGAACAGGATTTAGAAGCCTCTTTAATGCCTTGGAACAAATATTTAGTACAAATCACTGCTGACCAACAATCAAAGATTTTTCTTCCCTAGAGCTAACCATAAATAAAAGAAAAACAAAATTGCCTATCTTAGAAATATCACTCACTGTAACAAATAAATCTGCAAAACAATATTGTAATTATAACTGCTCGAAGAACTTACATGTGTAGGGTTAGTTGGTCTCCATGACCTTTTTAGCTTTGAGCACCCTCAGGGAACAAAGGACTGAAGAGAACAAGAGAACGAAGAGAGAGAAGACTGAGCAGATCCGCTCCTGTCACACGCACTCGTTCTGATGGCAGAGCCTAGGCCTGACCACTCTATCTTCAGTGCCTACCACAAAGCAGGTGCTCAGTAAATGTTCGGTGAATGGCGCTGGCATTCAGAGCACCAGTTCAAGCCCTGGCTGCTCCATTTCTGATCCAGCTCCCGCTAATGCACCTGAGAAAACAGAAGGTAGCCCAAGTGCTACCCATGCGGGAGTCCAGGATGGAGTTCCTGGCTCCTGGCTTTCATTGTAGCCATTTGGGGAGTAAACCAGCAAATGGAAGATCATCTCTCTCTTACCTGTCCCTCTATCTCTGTCATTCTGCCTTTCAAATAAAAAAACAAAACAAAAGAAGTTTGGTGAATGAATGAGAAAATAAGATGGGAAAAGAATGAAAGGTCCAGAAAGAAAGGAGATTTTTCAGAGTTAGAACAGCGATTTTTTGAAGGACACTCTGGTCCCCCTGCAGAATTTTTTAATAGACAACAAAAGATCTTTAGGCAACAAGATCATCAGGAAGGGAGAAAATAATAAAACCTCTCGTCATTTAATCACTGAAAGATCATACAAATTGGGTCTAAAAACGCTTTGGAGGACTCCAGCCATCACCACCTGATCACATTCTGTGTGATCTGAGTGTCACTGAAAGTGGAACACCGAACATCACAGGCCTCCCGTCCTGACCAAGCGCTTTCACTGAGAAACTGGACTTGATCTGACCAATCTCTAGAGCTAGCTTCCACTCCTAAAAGTAGAAGTTCAAAGTAATTAAATGGCAAAACAAGAACACACACAGACACATCTACAATGGGGACACTCTAGAAGCCACCAGGCTAGTTCTCTGACAAGTCAATTACATGACTACGTATGTCATATGTGAACCTTATTTGGATCCTGATTCAAGAAATTCATACATCATTTTACCTTTATCATGTTGAAAATGAGGAAACTTTGGTTCAGAAAAACATGATTTTCCATTGAATTATCTAGACCAAAGGAAAGATATGCAGTCTCTTAAACTATTCACTCCTCTTTAATCTACCAACAAAGGGCATTTCTGAGACAATCAGGAAAATCAGATTATGGACTGGTGGGTGTTACATAATACCAAAGAATTCTTGTAAATTTAGCTAGACATGACAATGCATGGCTATTATATTAGAAAATACCATTTTGTTGTTGTTCTTCTTCTTCTTTGTCTTCTTTGAGAAATGAATACTGAAGTATGTAGAGGCAAAATTATATGATGCCTGGAATTTGCTTTTAAAATACTTCGGCAAAACAAAAAAAGAAAGTATATGTGGTGAATTACAGGGTTGGGTGGATGGGGGGTTCACTGCACCATTCTGTTTATAGTATGTTTGAAATTTTTCACAATAAAAATCTTCCTCAAAAATTCTTTTTTTTTTTTTTTTTTTTTTGACAGGCAGAGTGGGCAGTGAGAGAGAGAGACAGAGAGAAAGGTCTTCCTTTTGCCGTTGGTTCACTCTCCAATGGCCGCTGCGACCAGCGCACCGCGCTGATCCGATGGCAGGAGCCAAGTGTTTCCTCTTGGTCTCCCATGCAGGTGCAGGGCCCAGCGACCTGGGCCATCCTCCACTGCACTCCCGGGCCACAGCAGAGAGCTGGACAGAATCCGGCACCCCGATTCTTGTTTTAAAAAGTACATCGGGGCCGGAGTCATGGCTCACTAGGTTAATCCTCCGCCTGCGGCGCCAGCACACCAGGTTCTAGTCCCAGTTGGGGCTGGATCAGAAGCGCCGCAGCCAGGACTTGAAATCGCACCCATTTGGGATGCCGGCACTGCAGGCTGAAGCTTATCCTAATATGCCACAGCGCCACCCCCAACTCTACCTTTCAAATAAATAGATTTTTTTTAATTTATATAATTCAAAGGAAATATGTTACTTAAACCACTTATTTCCCCCATCCAGACAGGATTCAGACTAAAACCTTTTCTAAAATATTAACAGGTACCCTTCCAAACAGACACCCAAAAGATATATTATATAATCCCCAGCAAAAAGAGTTATTGTCCAGAATAAATGTCAAATGCTCACATTCAAATAAGCAAATCCAAATTCATTTTCAGAACTTAAAAGAGCCAAAGGTTGAAGTGCTACCTTGAGATCTAGTTTGGTGTTAACCGGATCCTGACGCTCCGACTCTACTGAAGTACTCGATTCTGACTTCACATTCTGCAGAAGGTCCTCAGGTGGCACTTTCATTGCATGGTTGTCTGCAGTGGAGCCAATTCCAAAAAAATCCAGGATCACGACCCATGTCTGCAGTGTGATCAGCACATCCAAGCAGTTAAAATCAACATCAATGCTCCGGTTAACTTGATTGTAACTGGAAGAGAATTCTGGATGTTTCTTATCTACCAAGAATATATTGATGTGGACCAAGGAATCATCAAATTTACTCTTTCCAGCAAGTGTCCTGGGCTCATCCACCGTTGGAGAAGGAGGAGGGGTTAAGGGATATTCCTTGTCTTGGACTTCTTTTGGCTTTCTCCGGGAGGCAGAGGTGGGTCTTTGATAGAACTGAAAGACGTTAGGAGCTTCTTCCATGTGGGAAGGGAGAGACCGAGGCATGTCAGGGTACTCCACGTTGGACACCGAAGGGCAAGACTGAGACAGGTATTCTTTCTGGGCTAAACTGGACGGCTTAGGAGCTCCCCGAGACACCATCAGGTTCTTATATTTGGAATCTGGATTCTTCTCCAGTAAGTCTTCCATGAGCAGGGAGCGCAGGGCAATCTGAATGGATAAAGTCTGAGGATGGTCTTTACTGAATTCCACTTCAAAATCCTGAAACTTTAAGCTCACAAGACCCTGGGCCCCTAAAGTCAGATCTCCACTTAGCTGAACCTGAAGCTCCGATATACAAAAGGTGGCTTGAATCTGAGTGAAGGATCTGACTTCCTTCACAGAGGAAGGTCTCTGAGACGCGCTGGAAAGGCCGGAGTGGCCGAACAATCCGTTCTCCTTCCGCTCCGCAGGCTCTCCACAGGCGCCGAGCGCAGGCAGCGGAGAATCAGGGCAAGGGGAGGAGGTGGCACTAGCGGGAAATTTATTCAGATCTTCACTGCACACAAGGTTGTCCAGTGTCTGTAAAACCTGCTCATACACGTGCTTGGCTAGCACCACCTGTGTTCAAAGAGAAACACTCAGTTACTCCACTGCTGTCACTAACTGCACTCCGATTACTGCCCACAACGCCCACAGCCGCTGTTCACGGGTCCCCACCAGGTTTGAAGTTAGCTGATACAAGGAGCGTTTCTTCCATTCTTTTCAGTCTTGAACTTTTTCTGCTCCACTTCTACTCACAAGGCTCTCCCTCCCTCACAGATCTCACAGACCATATGTGTTCAATAAGTGCCTGAGTCAGCAGTTACTCTCTAATCCCACAAAAACCACCATAGAACTGGGGGGACACTGCTGCAAGCCTCAGGTGGGGCCACCACAGCATTCAGGAATGATCAGGTCGTAGCTCTGACTCTGGCTAACCACGGCCACTCAGTGTAACACCTGTGCTCAATACTCCGTAATGACGCTGATTCTTGATTGGCTCTATCTACTTTCTCCCTTGCTTTGTTTGTAATTACAATATCTTACTAAAAATACTTTCAGCAGTGGGCATTTGGCACAGCAGTTAAGTCACCACATTGCATACAGGAGTGCCTGGTTGACATCCTGGCTCTGCTTCTGATTCTAGCTTCCTGCTAATATGTACCCTGGGAAGCAGCAGGTGATGGCTCAAATACTTGGATCCCTCTATGTGGGAGACCCAGATGGAGTTCCTGACTTCTGACCTGGGCCTGACCCAGCCTTGGCCATTACAGCCGTTTTGGGAAGGAACCAGCAGATGGAAGATTTCTCTCTCTCTCTTTCTCTCTCTTTCTCTCTCTCTCTCTCTCTCTTTCTCTCTTTCTCTCTTTCTCTCTTTCTCTCTCTCTCTCTCAGACTTTCAAATGAATAAATCTTTAAAAAATATTTTTGTCAAAACAACAGTAAATCAATGATGACCCTAGGAATAAATCAAGATAATCCAATGAAATTCACATGAAGTGCTGGATTTCAGGCGACACATTCCTCCTGATAACTACTGCAATGAGGCAAAGCTCAGCGGAGAGGGAAAGCTCTGGGGAAGTTCTCTCACCCAGAGACCACACGAGAGACCACTGATGTCAAAAGATGCCAAGTTCTGTTGACAGCTCTCCTGGTTCCCCCAGAACAACTGCCAGACAGACTGGGAGCAAATGCTGCCCCAGCGTGAGGGCCGCTGGCCTGTGATCCTGCCTGTCCCTGTTTTACAGCGCTCTTAGCTCACTCCCTGTGAAGTCAGGGACAATGACATTTTTGAAGGAAAAAGGATAATGGACATATACACACATAGTCACCACACACACACTCCCTATCCTGGACTATTTCGTTTCAAAGAGGGCAAAACTAAATCTACCTTGAAAGAATCTGTCAATAGCTCACATAATCACATTGTTTTATAGGCTGGACCAAGGATGTCAAAAGTGTGATAAGCATTCTATACTCCTGGGAAAAAGAGACTAACTTAACCTTCCTATTTCTGAATGGCAACAGAATTGAGGATCTACCTTCTTCCTTATACAAGTCCCCTCCTCTACATGAAGACCAATGCCCCAGGGACAAAAGGACAACATAAAACGATTCCATGTTTATTGGAACAAGTTATCAACAACAGTTATATCCACTAATGATCTCTTTGAATTTATATATTTTCCTTCCAACATTTATTATGCATAAAATAACGTGCTATACCACATAATATATGTACATAATATAAATATAAAATAAATTCAGGTTGAGCAGCCCTAATTCAAAAATGTTTTTTGAGCCTATCAATTTCGGATTTTTGGATTCAAGATGCTCAACCAGGAAAAGTCTATGTAAATATTCCAAAATCTGAAAAACTCCAAAATCTGCAATACTTCTGGTCCCACATATTTTGAATAAGGAATACTCCATCCACCTGTGATGTCAAATGCCCTGACATGAAGACACCAGAGTTTACCTGAACTGCATTGACGAACTTCCCTTCAATCTTCATGATGCTAGAAGCTCCCAGGTCACCTGGGCTGAGGGAGAAAGTGAGCTCCGAGTCTCTCTCCATGGGGATCTTCTCCAGTCTAAACTGAATGGTGGTGTTGTTCAGGATGTGAAAAGCTGCCATCAGACAATGGAAATGACAGACCGAATATTAGCATCTACTTCATTCTTGCCAATTCAGGCTAGAGTACATAAAAGGCGGCCCGTCAGTTACTCTGAGAACAGGATGGCAGGCTGGCCCGGCACCTGGGTCTGCGACTGACAGCTCACCTTGGTGACTATCCAGAGACAGAAGCAAGCAGAGGTACATATAAATTTACATTGAAAAAGGAATATTTTTACAACATGCTCCATTGGTGGCTTTAAAATATGTGGCAAGGGGGCCAGCCTGTGGCACAGCTGGTAAAGCTGCCACCTGCAGTGCCAACATCCCATATGGACTCCAGTTCAAGTCTCAGCTGCTTCACTTCCAATGCAACTCTCTGCTGTGGCCTGGGAAAGCAGCAGAACATGGCCCAAGCCCTTGGGCCCCTGCACCTGTGTGGGAGACCCAGAAGAAGCTCCTGGCTCCTGGCTTCGGATCAGTGCAGCTCCGGCCATTGCAGCCAATTGGGGAGTGAACCAGTGGATGGAAGACCTCTCTCCCTCTGCCTAGCCTTCTCTCTCTGTGTAATTCTTTCAGATAAATAAATAAATCTTAAAAAAAAAAAAAATATGTGGCAAGGAGCAGGCATTTGGCATAGCAGTTAAAACCTTGGGTAGGATGCTCAAATCCCTCATCAGAGTGCCTGGGTTCGAGTCCCGCCTCTGCTCCTGATTCTCGCTCCATAATGCAGGCCCTGGGCAGCAGCAGGTGACAGCTCAAGTAACTGAATCCCTGCCACCCACGTGGGAGACACAGGGCGAGCTGCCGAGCTCCTGGCTTCAGCCCAGCCCAGCCCCAGCTGCAGCAGCATTTGAGGAACATTTGGGAGATCTCTCAATCTCTCTCTGCCTTTCAAATAAGTAAATGAATTTAAAATAAACATATATATATATATATAGAGAGAGAGAGAGAGAGTACATTAAGCTTCTCTTAGCCAAGCTGACATTTTCCAAACCAAACTTTTAGCTTTCAGATATAGAGGTATCCCTCCCATTGGGCCTAATCAGAATCAAGGACAAAACACAGTTCTAAGTAAACAACTTCCATCCCAAACATGGATGGATCAGGATGCTTGTGCTAAGTACATAAACAATCGGGAAATTAACATCTGAGAACCACAGAAACAGTCTTCAAAGGCATTTCTTCACCAGTAAATAAAGCCACGCTCCAGGGCTTACCTGATTTCTATGGGTGTCAAGACTAACAGACTGAACTGTTTGGTTTTAGCTGTTTAGATCCAGAATACAAACACAACCACATTATTCTTACAAACCTGAACCACTCACTACAGAAGATGGCAAAGAAGATGGCAAAATACTAAACGGAGAACACACATCCACAGACTAAATTTCATATTCTATTTGCATCAGCCCCTTGAGCTATCTTGGGCTACAATACTTAACTAGGAAAGATCTACCGCTTAGGAACAAAAAATTCAGATACATTTAACCAGATTAAACAATACTTTAACAGGATCTAGCCTGCATTAATGAGCATTCAGCCAATTTCAAAGGGGAATGCTTTTTACAAAAATTATTTTGTCAAATACAGCATTAAGCAGAAAAGGGTAAAAACATACCAACTTACCATGGAATGGCCTGTTAAAATTATATTTTGATTTCTTAAATAGTACTCGTTCTAGGGTTCATTCTAAAAGAAAAAGGTTTTGTTACTGGTTTTAGCAAAGTGAAAGAAAAGATTCATGCTACTCACCTTGACCTCTATGCAAAGATTCAAAGAAGTCATGTCTGGTGAAATGAGCATCCTCTTGGCTACTGACACTGGCAGACGCAGATGACGCACAAAACACCCGACTTACTTCAGCCACAGCACCTTCTCGGCCTACCAGCTGGGTACAATTCAAGGAATAGAGTTTAATGTCTTTGATTTCTACCTGCAGACGGTCACTTCTGGAGTCATCATCTCCAGCCACAAAATTCTGGATGAATATCTGTCCCAAGTGTCCTACCAACAACTCGGGACTCCCGGGCTTCCGGGGGACAGAAACCACTGGGGACTCAATGTTTATGTTCAAGATTAACTTTACAGTGTCCAAACGAGGTGAAGCCAGGCCAAACCCATATATTTCGTTTTCCTCCAAGATAAAGGGTTCACGAGCCTTTCTTGGAGTTTCAAAGAGTGACACCATTTCGCTGTACTCAGCAGTCTTTGTGGCTAGTACTGTGGTGACTTTGGTGGCCGCATTTTTCAGCATACTTCGAAAATTTTCTTCTAGCTCATCCATGGACAATGTTAATTCCTTTAAAAATTTAGCAGAATGGTTATAATGCAAGGAAGCCATCTTCAGGTGGAGGAAACACTCTTGCTTCGATCTCTCAACAAACGTGAAACTCAAAGCTTCAGTAAGGGCTGCATCTTCCATCCTGACAAATACAGATTCAAAGAAGCCAATTTCACTGACGAGAGTCTCGTAGCCTGCGGAATTCCCAATGCTGACAACATACTGGTTTTTACCATTATCCTGTGTCAAATCCATAAGCTGCAAACAGCCAAGAGAACCATTCATGTCAAATGTGCTACCCATTGAGACGTTAACTTTGGTGCCACCTATACTTGCAGTTGCGATTTTTCTACCATATTTCTCCCCATTTGCCATTCCCACTGTCCGAAGAAGCAGTAAGTTAAGTCTATGAATTTCCACGGCAACCTCAGTGTTTTGTTCATAGGTAGACTGGTAAGTTCCTTGTTCTCTAAAGCTTCTTTCAAAATCAGTTGTTAAAGGTTGAGGACTCAAATCATCTTTTTCCTTGGGGAAGGATTTTTGAAGAAAACCAATCAGCTCCACAATTGTCTCTGGATTTAGGATAATATCCAGATTATTCACCTGTAATGAGATCACCTGCAGAGTGCTATCTAAATTCATCGAGGGGCACTCTGAACTCACAAACTGATATTCCAATTTAATGAGGGACTCTTGTTCTTTGGTACAGATTTTGTCAAATGAAACATTAGTAGCTGATCGGTCATTCAACGTGGCTGCATCAGTGAAGTACGCCACGTTAGGTCCAGAAACGGGAGACTGAGCCCTGCTATCCCGAAGACTTCCTGTTGGAATATCAAAACTCAAGTTCTTATGTGAAGCCAACAAAAGGTCAAAGTCAGCACCATACGTCTGCATGGTGTCCACCAGGAGCAAACCATGCACAGTCAGGGAGACTTCGGCATCATAAGGCCGCTTCACAAAGTGAGCATTGGTGCCGAATACCTTGAGCACAGAAATGTACCGGCCATTGCTCTCAACGCCAAGCTGCACACAGTTAACTTTAAACTCGGCCAGGAGGAGCTGCGACTCCACCAGGACCTCCCGTGTGTGCTGCTCCAGCATCACAATGCTCTGGGTTAAATTCATCACTGAGTCTTGCAAACCTCCTCGCTGGCCTTCCTGGGGAAAAATTCTCTCTCTAATCTGTGTGTCAGAAGCCTTAACTTCTGGGGTGGTGAGGAGAGCAAAGCAATTCTTTAGAGCAGATATTTTATCCTCATTGATGTGGATTTTTAAGTCTGGTAAGTTGCCTGAAAGCACAGCTCCTGGGTATTTGGGATCTGAGGTATAAATCAACCGGCGTTCCAACTGCAGATGGACGTTGAATTTCTCCACCACGTGGGTGGGCCCCACGTCAATATCCTGGACATGCTTCCAGTTGTCCTTCACTCGTCCGACCATGATCTGGAGGTCCATGAACGACAGGGAGTACCTCTCGTACATCTTTGTGCTCATTAAATGTGCTTGAAGCTGTTCTTCACTGAACTCAACTCCAGAAAACGGAGGTGTTTTCTCTCCATTGCTGCTGCTTGTCTCCGGAGGCGGCGTATTGGGAGGTGTGGCGAGAGGGGTCTTATATTCATCGTCACTGAACTGATTCTCTTCAGAGGCTGACCCGTCCCCACTTTTCCTCTTGGAGTCATCTGCAGAGAGAAAGGCAGAAATTCAGAGCGCAGGTCTACTGTCCCCTTCCGCTTTTCCTCTCCCTTGGGGAATCACGCGCTCGTGTCAGGGTAGAGACCACAGCTGCTGTCCCAGCTTCTGAGAGCACTGCCCAAGCTGCTGTCACCGACTCTCTCTGTCACTCTCTGTGTTTACTTCTGCCTTTGCCACTGTGCTCATCCTGATTCCCCACTAGAGAGTTCAAGGGGAAGACAGCTCCCATTTGCCCTGCTCTACACAACATCCCCACAGCCTGGATCAGTACCTGGAGAGTAGAAACTGCTCGAGACACAATTTCTAGCCCCAGAGGCACATGCTAACCCCTCCCTGCAGCTGAGTGGTGCTGAGACAACTAGAGAAGCACACCACCGGGTTCTGTCGCCTCCGGCTCTGTGCCACATCTATGTTTTAGTGTTTCCAGGAGGTGATTTCCAAGGTCGTGTGAACTTCTTAGTCACATACAACTCCTTCTTAACAGTCCCCCCACACCACACTTTTCCACTCCTGCTCAAGTCCTCTACTCTCTTTTCTTCATGGTCCTCTCATTGGCGATAATAAGGTTGTGATCACTTGATAACCTTACTCAATTTCTTTTTCCCCATGAATTTTCTCACTCTTCCTTCCTATTTCAATGAATGCTTTTTGAATCTAATGAAATTACCTCATTTTCATATATGGCCCTAATTGCAAATAAATTAAATCTCCATCCCTGGGGGCTGGCGCTGTGGCATAGTATGCTAAGCCTCGCATGTGGCATCCGCATCCCAAATGGGCACTGGTTCATGTCCTAGCTGCTCCTCTTCCGGTCCAGCTCTTTGCTTATGGCCTGGGAAAGCAGTGGAAGATGGCCCAAGTGCTTGGACCACTGCACCCACATGGGAGACTCAGAAGAAGCTCCTGGCTCCTGGCTTCAGATCAGCCCAGCTCCAGCCATTACAGCCATTTGGGGAGTGAACCACCAGATGGAAGACCTTTCTCTCTATCTCTCCCTCTCTCTGTAACTCTGTCTCTCAAATAAACAAATAAAATCTTAAAAAAAAAAAAAAAAACCACTATCCTGAAAATGCATATTGGGAAATAATGTTTATTAAAATACACATTAAGAAAAAAATACAAATAAATAGCATAATGAGATACCACTTCACATATACAAAAATAGCTATGATCCAAAGAACAGACAATGAGTAATGATAAGGATATGGAGAATCACTTCTTGGCCTTTTGGCTAAGATCAAGTATAGGATATGGAGAAACTAGAATGTTCACACACTGCTGGTAGAAATACAAAAAGGTACAGTCACTTTGGTAGTTCTCCAAAATATTCAACACATAACCCAGCAACTCCATGCATCGGCATATACCCAAAGGAACTGAAGACACAGGCCCCACAAAAACCTGTGCATCAATGTTCATGGCAGCACTATTCATAATAGCCAACAAGTGGAAACAACCCAAATATCCAGCAACAAATGAATGGATAAACAAAATTTGGCATATCCATAAAATGGACTATTATTAAGTCACAAAAAACAAAGTACTGATACATACCACAACACAGATGAAACTTAAAAACATTATGCTAAATGAGAAAGACACAGAAGGTCCCATATTCTGTTAGTCCGTCCCTATGAAATGTTCAGAGTAGGCAAAACCATAGAGACAAAAAATTAGTGGTTGCCAGAGGCTGGGGATAGTGGGAAATGGGGAGTGACTGCCAATGAACTTTGAGTTCTTTTTGGAAAATGAAAAGAGTCTAGAATTAAGCAGTAGTGAGAGTTGTATAATTCCATCAATATTACAAAACAGCCACACTGTACATTTTAAAATTGTGAACTATGTCTCAATAGAGCTATCATTTTAAAAGTAACAAGTGAACTCCAGAGTTAAAATGTCACATAACTTTAAGCTCCACTTTAAGCACAGAGAGACAGGTACAGCAAGGTGTTTCCATGACTTCACGCTGGTACTACCTTGGGTGTTCGTCAACAGCATTCTTCCTAGATCCACGACAACTAACACAGGGTTCTTGAATTTGAAGTCATCAGGGAATATCACCTGAGGAGCAGAAATATCTAGCCGTACACTCCACCGTTTACTCTCCTCCTGCAAAATCAAATGAGCTTTCATTGAACCACAGTAACTGCAACTGCTGAAAATGAGCCGCTTTCTCGGAGGTGCTCAAGCACTTCTGACAGCCACAGCTAAGGGAGCTATGGAGTGACTGCTGGTCTGCAGTGTTAGCGCAAAACACCGATGGCTAAAGCGTGAGGATGAAGAAACTAAAGAGGCCTGTGCTGGGGCGCAGCAGGTTAATGCTCTAGCCTGAAGCACCGGCATCCCATATGGGCGCCGGTTTGAGACGTGGCTGCTCCACTTCCGATCCAGCTCTCTGCTATGGCCTGGGAAAGCAGTAGAAGATGGCACAAGTCCTGGGCCCCTGCACCCACGTGGGAGACCTGGAAGAAGCTCCTGGCTCCTGGCTTTGGATCAGCACAGCTCCAGCCATTGCGGCCATCTGGGGAGTGAACCATCAGATGGAAGACCTCTCTCTCTCTCTCTTTCTGCTTCTCCTCTCTCTGTGTAATTCTTTCAAATAAATAAATATTTTTTAAAAATAAATAAAAATACACTCTAGTAAACATTTTGGGACTGGCACTGTGCTGCGGCGGGTAATGCCCTGGCCCGAAGCGCCGGCATCTCATATGGGCACTGGTTCTAGTCCCGGCTGCTCCTCTTCAAATCCAGCTCTCTGCTATGGCCTGGGAAAGCAGTGGAAAATCCTTGGGCCCCTGCAATCACGTGGGAGACCCGAAAGAAGCTCCTGGCTCCTGGCTTCAGATCAGCACAGCTCCAGCCGCTGCAGCCATCTGGGGAGTGAACCAGCGGATGGAAGACCTCTCTCTCTGCCTCTCCTTCTCTCTCTCTCTGTAACTCTTTCAAATAAATAAAATAAATCTTTTTTTTTTTTTTTTTTTTTTGACAGGCAGAGTGGACAGTGAAAGAGAGAGACAGAAAGGTCTTCCTTTTGCTGTTGGTTCACCCTCCAATGGCCGCCACGGCTGGCGCGCGCTGTGGCCAGCGCACCGCACCGATCCGATTGCAGGAGCCAGGTACTTCTCCTGGTCTCCCATGAGGTGCAGGGCCCAAGCACTTGGGCCATCCTCCACTGCACTCCCTGGCCACAGCAGAGAGCTGGCCTGGAAGAGGGGCAACCGGGACAGAATCCGGCGCCCCGACGGGGACTAGAACCCGGTGTGCCGGCACCGCAAGGCGGAGGATTAGCCTAGTGAGCTGCGGCGCTGGCCAATAAAATAAATCTTTTAAAAAAAGAAAGAAAAAGGAACTAAAGTAGGGAGATGAAATTACAAATTACCTATGAGGAAATTGTATTTTGTGATTATCCACAGCTTAAGAAAGATTTGGCTTTTAATTTATAAGGCTTAATACGTTTAATGCATTGTAGAAATTGTGGAAGCCAAATAAACATAGAAATTTAATTTTTTTTTTTTGACAGGCAGAGTGGACAGTGAGAGAGAGAGAGACAGAAAGGTCTTCCTTTGCCGTTGGTTCACCCTCCAATGGCCACCGCAGCCGGCGCACTGCGGCCGGCGCACCACGCTGATCCGATGGCAGGAGCCAGGTGCTTCTCCTGGTCTCCCATGGGGTGCAGGGCCCAAGCACTTGGGCCATCCTCCACTGCACTCCCGGGCCACAGCAGAGAGCTGGCCTGGAAGAGGGGCAACCGGGACAGAATCCGGCACCCCGACCGGGACTAGAACCCGGTGTGCCGGCGCCGCAAGGTAGAGGATTAGCCTAGTGAGCCGCAGCGCTGGCCAGAAATTTAAATATTTTTACTTACTCACAGGCACAGGTAACCATGAACTTTCATGCCACCATATCTCAGTGTAAAACATAAACTGGGGCTGGTGCTGTGGCATAGTGGGTAAAGCCACCACCTGCAGTACCAGCATCCCATATGGGTGCCTGTTCGAGTCCCAGCTGCCCCACTTCTGATCCAGCTCTCTGCTATGGCCTGGGAGAGAAGTAGAGGGGTGGCCGAGGTTCTTGGGCCCCTGCACCCACGTGGGAGACCGTGGTCTCCTGGCTTCATATCAACCCAGTTCCAGCCGTTGTGGCCAATCAGGGATTGAACCAGCGGATGGAAGACCTCTCTCTCTCTCTCTCTTTCTCTCTCTCTCTCTTTGCCTCTCCTTCTCTTTCTGTGTAACTCTGACTTTCAAATAAATAAATAAATCTTAAAAAAAAAAAAACACATAAGCTGTAATATCAGAAATGCAAACAACAAACCAACTCTTGAGTTTCTTCATTAGTCTTCCCTGCAATTACACTTACCCTCAACTGCATGAACATATAAAGCTAATGTATGCAAATATTTCCTTTTTCTATAACAAGAGGATACTAATTATTACACACACACCACTACCTGCCAAAAAATGAACTACTTCTCCACCCCATACATACTATATACCCCCGGCCCTTTACTTTTGAACATCTCTGCCCTCCTTCACTGTGCAATGGGCTCTGCACTGCCCAGAAGACGCCACGCTCTGTCTGATGCTCCCTCTACTGCCGCATCTTAGCACTGCACCGCCATGCCACATGGATAGGCTTACTGGATGGTTAAGAAGTTCCTTGGCTCACAAGTGACCATCATAACCTGGAGAAGAAGCTGGGGCATCATTGCAGTCATTTTCCTTCTGATAACAGGACAAAGGGAAGATCTCTCTCGGGAGCAGCTGTTTAGCCTAGCAGCCACAACACCTGCATCCCACGGAAGAGTGCCTGCGTTCAATTCCTAGCTCCAGCCCTGACTCCAGTTCCCTGCTAATGCAGACCCTTGGAGGCGGCAGTAATGGCTCCAAGTGGCTGGGTATCTGTCACCCACATAGGAGACCTGGACTGAATTCTCAATTCCTGATTCCAAACCAACCCAATCTACCTATTGAGCAGTAAATAGGAGCTTTCCCTCTCTCTCAAATAAATAATACACACAATTTTTAAAAGTGAGGGCGGGAGGCGCTCTCTGGTGAAACACTTACAAAATATCAGGTCTGGAAAAATGGAATAAAGATGAGTTTTACAGTATTTCCAAACTGGCACAAGGAAGAAATAAGATTCCACACAGTCACTCATGTTTTAGACGAGATCAGGTGTGTTCAGGGTGGTATGGCCGTAGACCAGTCACTCATTTTTTAAATTAAACCTGAACTAGAAGACGTGAGATTTTATTTTATGCTAGTAATCAGGATTTCATATTTTCCCTTTATTTAATCAGTATAATTGCTATAAGGATGCCTCTGTACAGCAGGTAAAAAACTTGACAACAGAATGCCGGCCCTTCTCCCAGAATGTAACGTATATCCACTCACAATGAAATCACCGACTAGCAGACGATCGAGAGTCTGTCGGATTTCTGCCTTGGTCTGCATCTTCAGCTTGTTATACTGTCTTCGGGCAGCTTCAGCCACTCTCAGCTCGAGTTCAGACTGATAGCCAAAACCTACAAGAATGAAAACACTCAGGTGAGTCGGAAGTTTCAAATGGGCAGATGAAAAGCGCCCATTTATTCTCCCCACGAACTTCCACCAAAGCTGGAGAAGGATCAGTAGCAACAACAGCTCCTTACTCCAGTGGGATCCAGAACAGGGCGACAGAGATGAGGCAAAAGTGGGGGGAGTCTGGAGAGACTGAGGGAAGGGCACCGAAGATACTAGAATTTGACGAACCATTTTTCAAAAGATTCAAAGCTATCATAGCAGGCCATTACACGGAAAGGGAAAATGGAATTTAGAAGGAATGCCTTCTCTACTCGACCCGTGAGACGGCAATGGAGCCATGACATTTAGGGCTCCTGTTTACATGAAAAGACTCAAAACTGGAATAAAAACTAAAACAGTTTCATTGTTATGAAGGTGGGGAGGATACACTTAGGAAAAATACTATTGTTTTATCGATCTCCCTGTCAATCAAAGCGCTTTTGCTGCTCCTACTGTCTCAAGTCTTTTTTGGGAACAAGAGAGGCAAAAATAAATAAATCAGTGGTGACATTTAGAAGTCTGCAGTATTTAATGCTGCATCATGCAAGTAAGAGAAGCCACGGATCCTGTCATCCAGAAGGAAGTCCTTGAACACTCCTCCTCAGTGCACTGGTCTAAAAGCTCTTAGGCAGTCAACAAAACCACCGCACAACGGGATGTGTGAAAGGAGGCAAAGAGAAAGGGGTTAAGGATACTGATTTATCTTAGCAAGAGAGACTGTGCAAGGACACGCTGCAGTCATGAGGGGCCACCTCTGCACTCCTCTGTCACTCTCACAGGTCGCTCAGGGGAGTAACACTTGTCCAGAGCACCAGCAAGGACAAGAAAGATGCTTTTTTAAAAGTAACAAAAGATCAAACAAAAAAGTTAACCTGAGGTATGAACCTTTCCCTTGTAGAAAAAGTCTGCTACTTTTCTGATAGCCTGGGGGTTGTAGATGATGTTCAAGGGCCTCGTGCTGACGTTCAGTCGCCTCTCAAAGTGGCTGTGCACCGGGTTTCTCTCATACAGCATCTCAAAAACTGGGTCATCTGGGTCCGCAGCTGAAGGAGAGAAAAGGGAACACAGCAAAACAATCATCTTACTCTTGACAGACCCATGAGGAATTCTGGAAAGACATTTTCTGACTTGTTTTTCTATTAATTCACATTCTTGCACGTTTTCAAAATAGACTAAGAACTGACTCTTTAATTTTCAACAGAAATTATGAGGACTGGGCCAGTGTATTTGCTTCGGTTATGGAAACCAAGGATCCTATATGTTAACCAGGTTACACCAGGCCAACAGCCTCACTGAGAGTGCACCAAGCTGCCTCCAGGTTAAACATGGAGTCACATGGAAAATTACTATGCACAAGACACAAAACACTTCCTCTTCTCACTGATGAGGACTGCGGCTGAAAGAATCATATTTTTAAGGATGAGTTTTAAGATAAGTTAGCGTAGCAAATTACCAAGATCTTGACCACTTCTGTCTGCAGGTGCAGTCTGGAGACCAAAGGACTGAGAGACTCTGCCAACTTCTTTCTGCTGTGAAACAAACACAAGAATGCATCAGTGTGAGAGAGGGGCCAACGCACCTTATACACACACAAGAATGCATCAGTGTGAGAGAGGGGCCAACGCACCTTATACACACACAAGAATGCATCAGTGTCAGAGAGGGGCCAACGCACCTTATACACACACACACAAGAATGCATCAGTGTCAGAGAGGGGCCAACGCACCTTATACACACACACAAGAATGCATCAGTGTCAGAGAGGGGCCAACGCACCTTATACACACACACAAGAATGCATCAGTGTCAGAGAGGGGCCAACGCACCTTATACACACACAAGAATGCATCAGTGTCAGAGAGGGGCCAACGCACCTTATACACACACACAAGAATGCATCAGTGTCAGAGAGGGGCCAACGCACCTTATACATACACTTAACCCTCAGCATCACTTTCACTCAGCACTAGTGAGTCAAATTCACTTCAAATTACATGACTGAGTTCCTGCAGACGTATTCTGTTTGTGCCTTTCTCTCAAGGCTCTGCCTTGTCCTGACAATGTGTGCTTTGCTCTCGGCACGCTTAACAGACACTTGCTAAACGGACAGCAGACATGTACAGCTTTCCAAACCTGAAGTCTACAACTCTCATCCTCTCCGTGGCCTTCCCCACGCGACCCGAAAGCAACCATGGATGGGGTAAGTGGCTCTACACTCAGCTATTTGAATCACATATTCGACAACTTAATAAAATCAAAGATCTCATAATAATAATAAGTATTTAAATATAAAAAGTATACATACATAGAAAACATGAGATGGTTCTCTCTTGCAAGCCAGAAAAAAAATGAGATTTCACAGCAGACAAAGAGTCAGAGTGAAAACGACTGTCAGAATCAGAGAGAATAAATGCACAAAATAGCGGTGCTTACGGTGCTTCCCATTCAGAGTAAACTGTTCCATGACAGCACAACATGGGACGGGGAATCCCACCAACACTGTCTAGCAAATTCAAAAGACTTATCTAACCCCAGCCTACCTGTGTCAAAATGATCAAATGTTAGAATGAATCAGGTTAATATTGCTTATTATTTGTCTAAAAGAGACCGCAATTCACCGACACCCTGCCGTGCTAACCTTCCCAGTAAGTGTACGTACTGGATTAGGGAAGACCAGAAGAGGAAACGTCGTTCCTTCGGTGGCCACGTCTCGAAGAAACAGGCCACCCAACCGGACGAAAAGCAAGGAGGAGTTTCTTCGAGGGAGAGACTCTGCCAGCAATTTTACATCTACAAAAGATGAATGTAAGAATTCATACTACGCCATGATAACCTGTTTTTTGAAGTATTAGTTATAATATTTGAGCACTATTAGATATCATAACCTTGAAATTAGAACTCCCAAAAAACTGAGCATACTTCAAAAAGTTCACTAAAAAACAAAATAGAGTTAAAAGATAAATTTTGGGGCCAGCAATGTGGCACAGTGGGTAAAGCTGTAGCCCAAGATGCCGGCATCCCGTATGGATGCTGGTTCAAATCCTGGATGCTCCAATTCTGATGCAGCTCTCTGTTTACAGCCTGGGAAAGCAGCAGAAAATGGCCCAAGTGCTCGGGCCTCTGCACCTACACGGGAGATCTGAAAGCAGTTCCTGGCTCCCGGCTTTGGCCTGGCTCAGCCCTGGCCATTGCAGCCACTTGAAGAACAAACCTCTCTCTCTCTGTCTCTCTTGTCTCTCCTTCTCTCTCTGGAACTCTGCCTTTCAAATAAATAAAATAAATCTTAAAAAAAAAAAAAGATAAATTCTGGTGCAAAGAAACTTTGAATTCGAGAATGTATTTTATTTTTCATAAAATGCATTTTCCATGAGATTTCTGAAGGCCCAGCATGTGCAGATTTCAACATCTTTTGCAGTACAAAAGACTTATCTTTTAAGTCCATTTTCCACAAACTTTTTGAAATATCCTTGTAAATACACAAGCATTATGACACGTTTCCACCAGAATGAATTCTAAACACAGTTCAAGCAATCTTCTAGGTCACACTAAGTTTATGACAGCTCAGCTCTCAAGAATATAAAGTCGGGGCCAGCACTGTGGCACAGCGGGTGAATCCTCCACCTGCTGCGCCGGCATCCCATGTGGGCGCAGGTTCTAGTCCTGGATGCTCTGCTTCCGACCCAGCTCTCTGCTGTGGCCTGGGAAAGCGGTGGAGGATGGCCCAAGTCCCTGGGCCCCTGCACCCGCGTGGGAGACCTGGAGGAAGCTCCTGGCTCCTGGCTGCGGATCAGCACAGCTCTGACCGTTGCAGCCACTGGGGAGTGAACCAACAGACGGAAGACCTTTCTCTGTCTCTCCCTCTGTCTGTAACTCTACCTCTCAAATAAATAAACAAAAAATCTTAAAAAAATTTATAAAGTCAAATTGGCTTTTTTTATATATAATCATTTGCTCTTCTTCAACTAAAGAGGAATCTCAGAGAAACTGCTATTTTATGAACTGAAAAATATTTTTGAGATGGCTAGACCAACATCTAGGCATTTACATACTTAATTCAAAGTTTAAAAAAAAGTAGTCAAGGGGCCAGCACCAAGGCTTATCAAGTTAAGCTGCTGTTTGCAATGCCAGTATCCCACATGGGCACGGTTCAAGTCCCAGATGCTCCACTTCCAATCCAGCTTCCTGCTAATGTGCCTGGGAAAGTAGCGAGTGGTGGTCCAAGTGCTTGTGTCCCTGCACCCACATGGGAGACCCAGATGGAATTCCAGGCTCCTGGTTTCAGCCCAGCCCACCCCTGGCCATCGCAATCTTTTGGGGAGTGAATCAGTGGTTAGAATATTGATCTCTCTCTTTCTCTCTCTCACTCTCTCTTTCTCTCCCTTCCTCTCTTTCTGTAGCTGCCTTTAAAACAATAAATCTTTTTAGAAAAGCCACAAGTATAGCTGATCCTCATTATTCTCAGATTCCATATTTTGCACACTTACCTACTCTCACTGAAATTTATTTATAACCCCAAATCAATACTCCTGGTGCTTTCTCAATCATTCCAACATTCACAGAGCAAGAACTCTGGGTCACCCAACACACACATTCCCAGCTGAGTTCAAACACAGCAGTGATCTGTCTGCTTATTTCAACTCCCATGCAATAAACAAGTGCCCTTTTCCCGCCTATCTAGAGCCATGCTTTTCAAATTTTTGTGCTTTTCCTTGGTGATTTTACCATACACAGTTCTGAAGCGCTGTCTAGCACGTTACAGAGAAAACAGGTGTATGCCTGTGAAGTCATGCGTTCCAGGACTACCGGGCGTGAGTTAGATGCTAACAAATCAGCTGCACGTAGATAACTATATATTAGAGAATAAGCACCTAACCACAGACAGACATTAAAATAAACAAGTCAGATACGGATCAGCTGATGACTCTAACCAGGCTGGCAAGAACCCCCGCAGGGTCTGCCCAGGAGCAACAGCTCCACCTCAGCTCATGCAGAGTTCCCAGCCACGGGCTGCAGACGACGAGGAGCACCGCGGCCGCGAGCTCTCTGGGGCAGTACCTGAAAACTCCAGCTGCATGAACGCACTTTCGTTCACAGGAGGCGTTCCTGGCTCCTCGTGTAGCAGTGTCACTGTGCCTCGCTGCAACTGCAAGTTCAGCTTAGCGAAGACATGGTCTCGCTTCGTGTACGTGTTCAGACACGAGGCGTCCGCAGTGGGGTCGAAAAATTCCTCAGTGCCTGAACAGTAAGGAAGAACAGCCTTTAAGAAAAAACACAAAAGTAAAAAGCACAACCAGGCACCATCACCACTCCCTTTCCAGGGAAGAGCGCCGAGTCACGGGGGATCACTGCCACAGGACAACAACCCCAGCTGTGCTCCAAGAGCTCTCACCAACTTCCTGCCAAGCCAGGGAGCAGACTCATGGTTAAAACACAGTTTAAAGCAGTACTGCACCGTCCACTACAGCACAAAGGGCACATGTACTAACATGGCTAGTGCAATCAAGGAACTGGATTGTTACTTTTGACTTAACTATAATTAAACAGCCATGTGTGGCTGTGGCTACCATATTAGACAGCACAAGTCTAAAAAGTACCCTGGACACTAGTCTTCAAGCTTCAAAATTTAAATTATTTGAACTGGGGAAGGCACTGCGGTGTAGCAGGTCATGCTACCACCTGCAACACTGGCATCCCAGATGAGCAGCAGTTTGAGTCCTGGCTGCTCCACTTTGGATCCAGCTTCCTGCTAATGCTCCTGGGAAAGCAGTGGAAGATGGCCCAAGTACTAAGGGCCGTGCCACCCAGGTGAGAGGCCCAGAGGGAGTTCCAGGCTCCTGGTTTCAGCCTGGCCCAGCCCCAGCCATTGTAGCCATCCAGGGAACGGGGAATGAACCAGTGGATGAAAAATTCTCTCTCTCTCTCTCTGTAATTCTTCTTTTCAAATAAATAAATAAATTCTTAAAAATTTTTTTGAACTTCCTAAAATGTAGCTCTCTTACAACTGTTGCCTGAAACTGAATTAGTAAGGAACTGCAAATGGAGGACCTTCTAATCCAGTCTTCTCTGCCTCTATGAACTTGAAACAAGCGGTTTCTAAGCGAGGGGTGAAGGCCAGCTCCCACATACCCAGGATCTCCTCCGGAGCCCAGTGCTCGCACGGCTCTCCCGACAGCCCCTCCACGGATTTTCCTTCAGGGGCTGGCTGCCCATACCAGCCACCCCATCCAGGAAACCAGGATTGAAGATACTGAAGCATCCCACTGCCTCCACCGGTCTCCGGGCCGCCAGGAGAGTCCCCAGGAGAGTCGAACTGAGGTTCACGCAGACTCTGTGTCAATAATCACAAGGGAGCAGACGTGAGTGCCTGACAGAGGCGAGCCGTGCTGAGCCACCGCCGCCATCTGTCCCCATCAGAACCGCAGCATCTCAACAAATCTTCTCGAGGGAGACTCCGTACCTCTGCTAGCTCTTCTTGTTTGTAAAATCGATCATGAACCAGTTCACGCAAAATCTTCAGTTCCTCAAAACTCTGTTCCTCTTCAATCCGACACATTTCCTCCTGTTTAGGTGAAAGCAGAAATAAACAAAAATAGATACCATACCTACAGAGAAATCAGACACCTCCATAAACTACAAACAAACCCAGCTGGGCCCCCAGCATCACCATTTAAGGCTAAGAACAAGGCAGACAGTCCTATGACTGCAATCGTTGGCTTAAACAGCTTTCCCATACCATCCAATAGATGGCAGTTGCCCTCAAAAACATCACTAAAAAGTTTCACAGTGCCTAGGCCTACGGGGAAGAAGAGAGGGAGCAAAGGAGAGCACTTTCTTCTCTTTTCTTCTCTTCTCTTTTCTTTTCTTTTTCTAAGATTTTATTTATTTACCTGAAAGGCAGAGTCACAAGAGGAGGACAGCGAGAACGAGCAAGAGCTTCCGTTCGCTGGCTCACTCCCCAAATGGCCACAGCGGCTGGGGCTGGGCCAGGCCAAAACCAGGAGCCGAGAACTTCTTCCAGGTCTCCCACATGAGTGCAGCGCCTAAGCCCTCCACTCCTTTCCTGGGTGCATTAGCAGGGAGCTGGATTGGACATGGAGCAGCTGGGACTCGAACTGTTGCCCATATGGGATGCTGGCACTGTAGATGGTGGCTTAACCCTCTGTGCCACAGCACCAGCCCTGAATCCTGTGTTTTCAAGGGGCTGCTGTGGGGTGCACCGCCTCATCATCCCATCCTGCGCCCAGCACTGAAGCAGTCACAGAATGCTCTACATGCATGCACTCAGATAGCAAAAGAGGCAGCCAAGTTACCACCTTCACAGAAGGAAACTGAGGACCAAGTTCACACAGGAAGTGTGCAGGCCCGAGCTCCTCTGTTTTGTATGGGATATGAGCAAGAACGTCATCTTTTTTTTGTTTTATTTGCTCCACGTCAGACCAGTTCCCTGCTAATAGCCTAAGCAGCAGAGATGGCCCAAGTGTCTGGGATCCTGCCATCCACATGGGAGACCTGGAAGAAGCTCCTGGCTCCCAGCTTCAGCCCAGTCCTGGCCACTGGGCCAAATGGGGAGTGAACAGGGAGATCTGTCTCTCTCCTTCTCTCTGTAACTCTGCCTTTCAAACTCTTTATTTGAAAGAATTAAGCAGAGAGGTAGAGACACAGAGAGAGAAAGGTCTTCCGTCGGCTGAAACTGAGCTAATCCAAAGCTGGGAGCCAGGAGCTTCTTCCGGGTCTCCCCTGTGGGGGCAGGGGCCCAAGACTTGGGCCATCCTCTGCTGCTTTCCCAGGCGCATTAGCAGGGAGCTGGACTAGAAGTGGAGCAGCTGGGACTCAAACCAGCACCCATATGGGATGGCAGCACTGCAGGCCAGGGCTTGAACTCACTGTACCACAGTGCTGGTCCCAATAAATCTTAAAAAAAAAAAAAAAAAAAAAAAAAACCCACACACACACACATCCAAAACAAAAAGTCTGGGTTACTCCATCCTTTTCATAAGGTTCCTACATCAGCAACCGTATCAGACATTGAGGGAAAAAGCGTTAACAAAGGAGTGGGCAACGGCCTCGGGGGGTTAGCTTAATAGAGAAGTGAGAACCCACAGGCCGCGACACAGCAAGTGTGAAGGGAAAGTCATGTTCTCTGCAGCCTAACTGGCTAAGAGCTAGGACCTGCGCCAAACTACAAGAACTGGTCTGAACCGCTCCTGCACAGCTGATTCCCACAAAAGCAAGACAAAACAAGCAGCAAGGCAACCGCTACTGCCTTGCCTGGGGTGATGACAGACAGACAGACAGACAGACTGGGAAGGGCTGGGTCCACTGCCAGGACCCCAGGAGGGCTGGGTCTGGGGTCTCTAGTCCACAGTTAGCTCCAACATGAGCTTTTCCCTTGTCTCAACCACCAGAAACCCAACATCAATCAAGTCAGCTGGGAATACAGACAACATGGGTCCAAGTGTGAGGAGGTCAGGTGGATTTCAGAGAAAAAGAATGAGGACTCGGATCAGGCTCTGAGGAGGGGTTGATGGCTCCATGAAGAAGAGTCTCTGCGGGGCCGGCGCTGTGGCGTAGTGGGTTAATGCCCTGGCCTGAAGTGCTGGCATCCCATATGGGCGACAGTTCCAGTCCCAGCTGCTCCTCTTCCGATCCAGCTCTCTGCTGTGGCCTGGGAAAGCAGTAGAAGATGGCCCAAGGTCTTGGGCCCTGCACCCGCATGGAGACCTGGAAGAAGCTCCTGGCTCCTGGCTTCGAATCGGCATGGCTCTGGCCGTTGTGGCCATCTGGGGACTGAACCAGCAGAAGGAGGAGGACCTTTCTCTCTGTCTCTCCCTCTCACTGTCTGTAATTCTACCTCTCAAATAAATAAAAAATCTTAAAAAAAAAAAAAAGAAGAAGAAGAAGAAGAGTCTCTGAGACCTGCACAGACAGCTGCGGGAGGAGAGACATGAGCACAAGGCCTGACGGACGTGGCCACATCTTGTCTTCTCACTCATGAGCTGCCTCTCCTCGGGCAACACGGCGGGAGGGAGCTGATGGCCAGTGTGTGAAAGTGGCCTTCCAAGAAGTTCCCAGTTGGGAGCTGTTGCTCAGTGGGTTAGGCTGTCACTTGGGACGCACAGATACCGTATCAGAGTGCCTGGGAACGAGTTCTGCCTCTGTGTCCAGTCCAGCTTCCTACTAATGCACCTGGGAGAGGCAGACAACAGCTCAAGTACTTGGGTTCCTGCTACCCATATCAGACCCAAACAGAATTCTGGGCTCCTGGCTTTGGCCTGGCCCAGCCCTGAATTTTAAGTACATTTCAGGAGTAAACCAGTAGATGGAAGACATCTCTCTCTCCCCCTCCCTCCCTGTCAGTCACTCTACCTCTCAAATAAATAAATAAAACTTTTTTTAAAAAAGTTCCCACTCTAATAAGACTAAATCAAAACAATAAAATTATGTTCCTAGTAAAGCAATTTATCTCTTCACGGTTTGCAACTTCATCAGCCTTTGGAAGGCTGATGACAAGAAACCCAAGACATCATCTTCTCACCTTGTCATCTGCAGACAGCAAGCCACCTTTTAATTTGGTGAAATACTTGTCAGTGTAGGATACGGCATCACGGGCACGGTGCAGCAAGAAGTCCCAGGTACAACACTTCCTCTGCTCTCTGATCTCATACAAGTTAGCATTCAAAGCGAAATACCACCATTCCCGGCAGCTAAGAGAGACCCCAACAATATAGTTACTTCTTACAATAAAAACAACCAAAACGCCCTCCATTCAGGACAATCCATGTAACACCACCCCTTCCTGAGACATCTTTCTCCCTTTCAGCCATCAGTTTATGTCCCAAGCTTATTTTACTATTAAGCTAAACCCTTATGTGTGGGGAAAGTAAATTTGTCACCTAAGAGTATCAAATAATAGCTCCCCACATATATAATGGCATAGGATTCAGGTGGTTTGAATTATCTACTGTATCAGTCCCCTCCATTGACAGAAAATCAAATGCTGTAAGGTAAATACCACCTTGAGATAATTAACAAGGATTAACTACTAAGGATTTTACAGGGCAGTGTTGTGGGGCAGCAGGTTAAGCTGCTGCCTGCAAAGCTGGCATCCCATATGAGCACTCGTTCAAGTTCCAGATGCTCCACTTGCCATCCAGCTCCCTGCTAATGCACCTAGGAGAGCAGCAGATGGCTCAAACACTAGGGCCCTTGCCACCGACGTCGAAGACCCAGTTAGAGTTCCTGGCTCAGCCTTGCCATTATGGACATTCAGGGAGTAAACCAGCGGATGGAAGACCTCTCTCTGTCTCTCTCTCTCTTTCTCTAACTCTGTTTTTCAAATAAATAAATAAATCTTTAGGAAAATAAGGATTTAAAATGGAATACTAAGAAAAGACCTGAAAATACACAAGATCTTTAAAGTATACTATATAAATGTTGACCAAAAAGACTAGGAAAGACGACCTAAGCAACTAGAATATTGCAAAGTACTTACTGTACACCAGGTGCCACCATTCTACTTGCTAAACTACACTTACTCTAAGAGTAAGACTGCAGCACCAAATAAACATATATCAATAATGATAACAGAATAGCATTTTAAGGGCTAGAAAAATCAATCATACTTTATCAAAGTTTTTTGGTTTTTTTAAAGATTTATTTATTTATTTGAAAGGAAGAGTTACAGAGAGGCATAGGCAGAGAGAGAGAGAGAGAGAGAGAGAGAGAGAGAGGTCTTCCATCCACTGGTTCACTCCCCAGATGGTTGCAATGGCCGCAGCTGTGCCAATCTGAAGCCAGGAGCCAGGAGCCACTTCCAGGTCTCCCTTGAGGGTCCGGGGGCCCAAGAAGTTAGGCCATCTTCTACTGCTTTCCCAGGCCACAGCAGAGAGCTGGATCAGAAGTGGAGCAGCCAGGACTCGACCAGCACCCGTATGGGATGCTGGCACTGCAGACGGTGGCTTTACCCACTACGCCACAGCACCGGCCCCAGATCCAAGTCCTGCACATTAATCATGTGCGAGAGCAGGAAGGCATCTATCTCTGAGGCATGCACAGGGAACCAGCAGCTGTCGAATGCATTGCACACACACAGCACTCACAGGCCCTTACTTCTCTGACACCGCCACTTTAGGTTTCCACTTTCGGAACTTCACCTGCCTCTCCTTTCGCTCCAGCTCCTTGAGAAATTCCATGATCTGCCGATACTGTAACTTTTATTAGAGGTTAAGAGATACTAAGTTAGAACAGATTTGTTTCTCTGTAAAAACCTTTATCTAACAAGAACAATTCGTGTTTGTCAAGCCACTTAACTGAAACCCAGTGCAACTAAAAGCAAGCTATCAGGATGGAGGGGCTTGTCTCTCCTGACGCTGACGGTACAGTACCCACATTTACATCTGCTATGTATCTCTTGTACACTTTGCTCCGCATTTAAAAACATCGCATATGAAGAGAATCGAAAATGAATCTTGATGTGAATGGAAGGGGAGAGGGAGTGGATAAGGGGAGGGTTGCGGGTTGGAGGGACGTTATGGGGGGGAAGCCATTGTAATCAATATTCTGTACTTTGGAAATTTATATTCATTAAATAAAAGTTAAAAAAAAAAACCATCGAATCAAAACTAACTCGAGACAACCCCATGTAACAGTCAACAGAGAAGTGGGTGTGTGCCTAACAAGCTTTGGCCAGGAAGGAAAGATACTGTTAAGCACCAAGCACATTCTACCAACATTTGTCCTTCAACTGCCCCCAGGTTCCCGGGAGACAGAGCGTAACCCCTGGAGGGCGGAGCGTACCTGAGAGAGTTTCAAAGGAATGGTCTCCAGCTGAATGTCACATTCGATCCGGGGACTGTGCCGAGACCTCAGAGGCTCCTTGGAGCAGTTTCTCTTCAAGAGAGCAGATGCACACACAGGCTCCAAGACGTAGTGGTGACTGCGACTCTCCATGCTCCTGGCCATGGCCTCCTGTGTGTCACAAGAACAACTGCCCTGCCCAGTCTGACTCCTGCTGCTGCTCACCACTCGTTTATAATGTTGGGGGTTTAGGACAAAAGCAGTCAAGCTGAGCGATGGGCCGTGTCATAGCAGCAAATGTTTTTAGGATCAAGTTACAGGCTGGTAGGTGCTCTAATCATATCAGAATGTAAAAAAATAAAATAAAATTGGGCTCTAAAGCTCTCTTCTTTAAAATTGTTTTTTTTTATTAATAAGTAATACATTACTATGTTCACCGCTGAAAATTAAAAAGCAAAATAAGGTGAAATATTCCTTTCCTGCTCGCATCCCCCAGCCACTCCCAGCAGCAGCACCAGAATCCACCTCCCCCACAGGCACTCTGCACGTATTTAAGCACATCCGTAACTTCTGTTTTCTTCCACAAATGTTATATGAGTGCCTGTGCCCTAGGTTCTTTTTCCTTTTTTTAGTTAGTTATTTATTTGAAAGGTAGAGTTACAGAGAAAGAGAGAGTAAGAGAGAAACTTCCATCGTTGTTTACTCCCCAAATGGCCTCAACAGCCAGAGCTGGGTCAATCTGAAGCTAGGAGCCTAGAGCTTCCTCCAGAGCCCCCAGTGGGTGCAGGGGCCCAAGGACTTGGGCCATCGTCTACTGCTTCCCCAGGCCACAGCAGAGAGCTGGACTGGATGTAGAGCAGCCAGGTCTCGAACTGGCTATGCCAGCACTGCAGGCAGCAGCTTTACCCACTATGCCACAATGCTGGCCCCAAATTTATCTTTTAAATTTACAGTGCTGGCCCTGTCCCAGGTTCTTAAATGCCTTAGTGTATCTCAGAGACCATTACACAGTCTTCATAAAGATCTGCACCTTTATCTTTTATATCTGCACACTGTTCCACTGTATGGTTGTAGTATTTACTTGACTGAATTAGCAAAACAAAAAAACCTCTCAAGATAATTGCACACAAGCCAAAGATAATATTGGGTGGGCGGAAAATGAGCCACTTCTTCCTATTTCACTTAAACCACCCACAATTTCTTTACAAGAAGATTAAACTGAGATTTTTCTTTAACGTTCATAAACAGTAATTTTTCATACCCAATGGTTTACAGCTTTCTAAGTACATCTTAAAGGAATACAAGTGGAGGTAAAGTTTCAACATAAACATAATAAGAAATCTATTGTTTAAGAATCACATCTGGGGACAGACAATGGAGCAGCAGTTAAGATATTGTTTAGGATGCTTCCATCCCATTTGGGAGTGCTCAAGGTCAAGTCCAGTTCCAGTTTTCTGCTAATGCACACCCTGGGAGGTAACAGGCAATGGCTCAAGTACTTGGGATTCCCACCATGCACATGGATTGAGTTATAGGATCCCAGCTTTGTCCTGGTTCAGCTCAGATTGTTGTGGGCATTTGGGGAGTGACCCAGCAGATGGAAGACCTCTCTCCATATCTTTCTCTCTCAGTATCTCTTTCTCTCTCTCCCTCTCTCCCTCCTTCCCTTTCAAATAAATTTTGACACCAAAGATACCCAGATAAATAATTTTTTTTTTAAAAAAAAAGAAGCACTTCTGGTGGTTTGTTTACTTAAAATCTGGATGCCTAGTACATATGGCTAAGAGAATGGGTAACTGGCCGGCGCCGCGGTTCACTAGGCTAATCCTCCGCCTGCGGCGCCGGCACACTGGGTTCTAGTCCCGGTCGGGGCGCCGGATTCTGTCCCGGTTGCCCCTCTTCCAGGCCAGCTCTCTGCTGTGGCCAGGGAGTGCAGTGGAGGATGGCCCAGGTGCTTGGGCCCTGCACCCCATGGGAGACCAGGAGAAGTACCTGGCTCCTGCCATCCGATCAGCCCAGTGCGCCGGCCGCAGTGCATGGGCCGCGGCGGCCATTGGAGGGTGAACCAACAGCAAAAGGAAGACCTTTCTCTCTCTCTCTCTCTCTCTCTCACTGTCCACTCTGCCTGTCAAAAATTAAAAAAAAAAAAAAGAGAGAGAGAGAGAATGGGTAACTGTAACATGTGACATGCCAATAATAGAGCCTCTGCAGTAGTCAGAAGCAATGAACTCGAAGTACAAAAACAGCAACGTTGTAAAAATACAGCTTTAAGAAGAAGAAAACCTGAAAACACCTGTAACTCCAATATAAATTTAAAACATGCACAAAACTAAACACTGTATGTGGTTCAAAGCCACACATACAGCAAGCACCTCAAGCCGATGCCTCTGGAGGAAGAGAGGAGCGGGCATCAAGAGACGCCGGGGACAAAAGCAAGCAAGGCTGTGACCCTGCACCACTGTCCTTCAGGGCTGCCACATCGTACAGTCCTCTGCCAGAATCCTACCTGCAGCTCCACCTGCGGCAGATCCCCCAGCAAAGTGCAATCAACATCCCAGTAGATGCTAAACTCTTCCACATCTAATTGCTTTTTCCGCATTAGTTTCTGTACCTGAGGAAGAAAGGGAAGAAAATGATGCCTGTCTTCAACCATGAACGTATTAACTCATTTCACAAACCATTTGTGGCATCGTGCATAATGGTAATCTGCATGGTCTTGGGGACACAAAACTGCAGTAAAACATGGTTTTAGGGCATTCAGTGCAGCAGTTAGAACACTGCGTGGGACACCTGCCTCCCACATCAGAGCGCCTAGGTTCAGGTTCCTGACTCCAGCTTCCTGTTAATGCAACAGACGATGGCACAAGTACTTGGTTCCTTGCCACCAATAGGTGGGACTGAATACTCGGTTCTAGGCTTCCAACTTGCCTAGCCTCAGCTAGTGACCCAGCAAATACAAGATATTTCTCAGCCGGTGCCATGGCTCAATAGGCTAATCTTCTACCTGTGGCGCCGGCACACCGGGTTCTAGTCCCGGTTGCTCCTCTTCCAGGCCAGCTCTCTGCTGTGGCCCAGGAGTGCAGTGGAGGATGGTCCAATTGCTTGGGCCCTGCACCCCATGGGAGACCAGGAGAAGCACCTGGCTCCTGGCTTCGGATCAGCGCGGTGCGCCAGCTGCAGTAGCCATTGGGGGGTGAACCAACGGAAAGGGAAGACCTTTCTCTCTGTCTCTCTCTCTCACTGCCCACTCTGCCTGTCAAAAAAAAAATAAGAAGAATAAAAAAAAAAAGAAAAAAAGAGAAAGAGCCACAGAGAAGAAGGCCACGTGAAGGTGAAGGCAGATACTGCAGTAATGGATCTACAAATCAGGGGCCACAGGCGCCGCCAGCAACCGGAACTAGGAGGGGGCAGGGCAGCTTCTCCTCCAGAACCTCTGGAAGTAATCAACCTGCTGAGACCCTGCCTTCAGACTCTGGCCTCCAAATCTAGAGAATGAATGTCTGCTGCTTCAGGCCGTCCACTCTGAGGCAATGCATTTTGTATGGCAGCCCAGGAAGCTGGGCTTCATACTTTAAGTGACATGAAGACATTGGAAGTTTGATGTAGGCAGGCACAAGAATCAAGTGTGGGGGCCAGCACTGTGCCAAAGCAGGTTAAGCAGCCACCTGCAGTACTGGCATCCCATGTGGGTGCTAGTTTGAGTCCCAGATGCTCCACTTCCGATCCAGCTCCCTGCTAATGCACTTAGGAAAGCAGTGGAGGTCATAAGTGCTTGGGTCTCTGCACCCACATCGGAGACCAGAGGAACCTCCTGGCTCCTGGCTTTGGCCTGGCCTAGCCTAGCCCTGGCCATTGCAGCCATTTGCGGAGTGAACCAGCGGATGAAGACCTCTCTGTCTCTCCCTCTCTCTCTCTGTAATGCCATCTTTCAAATACCTAAGTATTTAAACAAAAAAAAGAATCAAGTGTGGGTTTTAGACACAGAACTCTGGCAACATTGTAAGACAAAGATTCCCCTGGAGTGCCAGGGAAAAAAGGGGCTGTAAGTGTCAAGATCATGAAAAAGTTTAAGGGAGCAAGTTGTACTGGAGAACATTTGGTAACCCTGAGCTAGCCAAGTCCAGCCCCACACAGCCACAAATGTCTGACCCAGTGCACTGCACTCATCCATCTTTTTCCATCGGTGTCATGACATGGTGAAGATTAGGATGCACTGGAAGAGAACAAATCCAGAGTCTGGAGGTCACAGAACAGGGTATTTCATGAGTCCAGGCAAAAGACGACAAAATCCTGAAGGAAAAGAGCTGCACATGCTCTCACCCGGGTCTCTCATCTCCAGACACCTGTGCTCACCCCTCTACTCCTATCCCCAACTTCCCCATCTATCTGGTTACAGTGCCCTGCTAGTTCTTCCTGCAAGTGTCTCACACGGGGCTCTTCTTCTCTGCGCTTGTGTGACTGTTCGCTGCTACTGAGATGATCCTGGAAAGCCTCAGGGTGGGGCTGTCACCAGAAAGACCAAGTGATTACGGGGCTGGAACGTTCAGCCTGACCCTCCAGCCTCTGGTAGGCTAGGGATCAGGATCCATAAAGACTTCTCAACAGTGAGATCTGAGAAGCTCCCAGGCTGCTGAGGACAAGGGGCAGGAGGAAGCAAACTCCTGCTGGCCTGTCACTTGAACCCTCTATAATAAGCTGGTTGTGGTAAGTAGAGTGTTGCCTTGAGTTCTGTAAGTCACCCTAACAAACTACTGAACCCGAGGAGGTTGTGGGGATACAGGAATGTCCGATGACAGCAGGTCAGTGGAAAGCACGGTCCCAGCCTGGGACTCGCCCCAGGCATCTGAAGTAGCAGCCTGTGGGACGGAGCCCTTAACCTTTGGGGTCTGCACTAAATCCAGTGTCAGAACCAAGTTAATCTGTAGGAAACACACTTGGGTTCTGCTGGAGAAGTGCCTGGTGTGTAGGGAAAAGCCCGAAGGGCCACGTGAACAACACCGAGAAATGTTGCTTTATCAGATAGGCCTGAAACACCACAGAAGGTGTCCCATAAGTATTTTCTAAAATCCTGAAATGAAAGTCAGAAGAACAGCTGAGCAAAAGTTCAAGAGAGGACAGCCACGAGCAAACATCCCCCGGTAGCAGCTGGATCTAGAAGGAGCTCACCCCGGGAAAGCACGTGGGCTGAGAAGAAAACCAAGGAGGAAATCCTTTCAGCACTGCAGCTTCTCCGAGTATAAAATCAAGGTGATATAACCAAGGGTCAGATACAGTGAACAATGCCCTAGCTCAGCAAGTTAGACTCGCTGCCCATAGACAAGAGACCCGCACACCTACCAAGAAACCCAGTGGACAAGAACACAACCTCATTTACATAGCAGAATGACAAGAAGGAGAGTGTCAGATGCCCTCAGCGCAGCTTTCTCCCTGCGCGCCGGCATACTCACAGGCTGGTTCACAGCATTCTGCATGGACACATTCTTAATACAAACGCCGAACGCAAAAGGATGGGAAGGATCGGTGACACCATCCTCAAAGCGTAAATGGACATCTTGAATTTTTAACTGCAATGAGAAGAAGAAAAAACATTTAGATAACGCAGGCACAATACCACAGGCAGGATTCAAACTGCGCTAGAGCCACTAATCTAAAACGCCACTAAAGCATCACACACACAGCCACAGCGGAGCAGCTAGACTTGAACCAGTCCCCATCTGGATGCCAGCGCTGCAGAGCGGCTGAAGCCACTGCACCACAGCACCGGCCCCCAGAGTTATTTTTAAGTTGATAATTTTCTATGGCCCACAAATGACATCCTAAATATACCAATGGCTCTTGGCAGAAAAAAGGTTCCCTATTCCTGCTAAAGAAACACTTAAAGAAAATCCCAGGGCCGGCGCTGTGGCATAGTGGGTAAAGCCGCTGCCTACAGTGCCAGTATCCCATATGGGCACTGGTTTGAGTCCCAGCTGCTCCACTTCTGATCCAGCTCTCTGCTATGGCCTGGGAAAGCAGTAGAGAAAGGGCCAAGTCCTGGGGCCCCTGCACCCATGTGGGAGACCTGGAAGAAGCTCCTGGCTTCAGATCAGCGCAGCTCTGGCCGTTGTGGCCATCTGGGGAGTCACCCAGCAGATGGGAGAATTCTCATATTCACTCTCTCTCTCTGCCTCTCCTCCTCTCTCTGTGTAACTCTTTCAAATAAATAAATAATTCTTTAAAAAAAAAAAAAAAAAAAGAAAGAAAGAAAATCCACTACTGCTTCTAGCTAACTGGTTCTCCCAACCTTGTGCTATCTTAATCTTGCCAGTGTGTCTCAGTATCCAGATTCAGGAATACCAGCCAGCAGGGCTCACAAACCCTGTCTGTGTGCATGTTTGTATTTCCCTTGCCCATCTAAATGGGCTATGGAAAAGGCACTGTGCTCAGTGAACTAAAAACATAACAAAGTGAAAAGACAACCCACAGAAATAATTTGCAAATCATTTATCTGATAAGGGACTGCATCCAGAGTATATAAAGAGCATTTATGTTTCAACAAAAGACAAACTGATTTATCTAAATGGGAAAAGGATTTGAACAGACACTTCAAAAAAATACACACAATGGCCAATAAACATATGGAGGGGCATTCAACACCATTATCCATTAAGAAAATACAAATGGGCTGGCGCCGCGGCTCACTAGGCTAATCCTCCACCTTGTGGCGCCGGCACACCGGGTTCTAGTCCCGGTCGGGGCGCCGGATTCTGTCCCGGTTGCCCCTCTTCCAGGCCAGCTCTCTGCTGTGGCCAGGGAGTGCAGTGGAGGATGGCCCAAGTGCTTGGGCCCTGCACCCCATGGGAGACCAGGAGAAGCACCTGGCTCCTGCCATCGGATCAGCGCAGTGTGCTGGCCGCGGCTGCCATTGGAGGGTGAACCAATGGCAAAGGAGGACCTTTCTCTCTGTCTCTCTCTCTCACTGTCCACTCTGTCTTCAGATTCCCTCTCCACCTATATACCACAATGAGACATCAATTCATATCCATTAGAATGACTATAATCAAAAGATTGTCAATAACAACTGTTGATGAAAATATGGAGAAACAAATGCTCAAACACTGCTGATGAAACTGTAAAATAGTACAAGCTTTTTGGAAAACGATTTGGTAGCTCATTAAAATGTAAACAGAGTTCCCATCGATTCTTCCATTCTACTTCTACGCATATACTCAGGAGAACCACAGACGTTCACAGAAGACCCTCTACATGAACTTTTACAGCACCCTTATTTTTTTGAACAGTGGTAATGTTTATTAACATTTACAAAGACTGTGACCCAGAGAATACATCACAGGGGCTCAGTTATAAAGAAGGAAGTGCCTGGGACTATGAGACAGTGTTGCAGGGAGGACAGACCAGAATGGAGCCAAAGTGGACAGTCAGAAGACTAGAGGCAGAGTTAAGTCCCCAGTGTTAATCCAGTAAGAAAACTAACTTTTGAAATGATTCTAGTAAAAGTCAGATCTTTTTGACACACTTCAAGTGACCACTAAGTGCGGAAACGCACAGAGGCAGAGGGAACTCTAAACAGTCCTTGTGCTTGTGTGACACCTTCCAGAGAAGGTGCGGGTGTCTTACAATCAGCCCAATATGATGCAGCTGATGAAAACTGCAAATGTGTCCGAGAAACAGCATCTGTGTCAGCAACGCCTCCAAGGCTGCTTTTTTCAAGCAGACAGCTACTTTATTCTTAAGACAAAAAGTAGAAACAATTCAAATGTCCATCAACTGATGAACTGATTTTTTAAATGTGGTATATCCTGAGAACTATGAAGACTCAGCACAAACATAACATTTCAAAGATACTTGATCAAACTTTAACATGGCTCCCAGCAGCCCAAGGCCATGTCCAGGGAGTTACTGCCTAGAAAAGCTCAGGACTGTCGAAAGGGGGTCAGCACTGTGGCACAAGGGACTAAGCAGCCACTTACAATGCCAACATCCTATACGGGAGCACTGGTTCAGGTCCCAGCTCCTCCACTTGCAATTCAGCTCCCTGCTAATGTGCCGGGAAGGCAGCAGCAGATGGCCTGAGCACAGGGCCGCAGCTACCCATGTGGGAGACCAGGATGGAGTTCTTGGCTCCTGACTTCAGTCTGGCTCAGAACTGACTGTTGTGGTCACTTGGAGAGTGAACTCGTGGATGGAAGATCTCTCTCTCTTCCTCTTTCTCTACCTTTCAAATAAATAAATCAATCTGTAAATCAAATGTTTTAATTGAAACTAAACTAATTTAAAAAAATCAATGATAACTAAAGAGAATAACTGCTTGAAACAGAACTCAAAGCAGTCATTTCAAATGTACCAATCTTTTTGTCAAAGTTAGGAAAGTTATTGCATCCCTTGAACACACTGGTCTATGTCACCTTGGTAATGCCAAAAAAATAAATAAAATAAATAAAATAAAATAAAAAACACTAGAGATAGTAAAATGGGCATTCATGAAAATTAGTATGGATCCTAACCTAGATTTAAGATGAAACAAATGGTAATTAAAGTGGAAAATGTGGCCAAGAGCCCCAGCACTGCAACTCATCAGACTGTCACCTGCTTTACTGGTGCAGGTTAAAGTATCTTAGTCATTCACAAATGACTATGAAATCAACTAGACGGGGGCCAGCACTGTGCAGCGGGTTAACGCCCTGGCCTGAAGTGCCAGCATCCCATATGGGTGCCATTTTGAGACCCGGCTGTTCCACTTCCAATCCAGCTCTCTGCTACGGCCTGGGAAAGCAGCAGAAAATGGTCCAAGCCCTTGGGCCCCTGCATTTCAGGTGGGAGACCCAGAAGAAGCTCCTGGCTCCTGGCTTCAGATCAGTGCAGCTCCGGCTGTTGCGGCCAACTGGGGAGTGAACCGTCGGACGGAAGACCTCTCTCTGCCTCTCCTCTCTGTGTAACTCTGACTTTCAAATAAATAAATAAATCTTTAAAAAAAAAAAAAGGAATCAACTAGACACCATGTACTCAACCTCTCCCATCTTATAAATGAAGAAACAGACCTCAAACCTGCCCTAAAACCATACAAGCATCAAGCCTTAGGACCCGGCTTCTCGAGGGGATAGACTCTTTAGCCAGTGCAGACATTTAGCCCAGCAGTTAAGACGCTGCTTGGGATGCCCATATCCCATATCCCAGTGCCTGTGTTCAAGTCCCAGCTCCACTCTCAATTCCAGCTTCCTGCTAACACACACCCTGGGAGGTAGCAGCTGACTGAGTACTTGGGTCCCTAACACCCAGATGGGAGACCCAAATTGCATTCCTAAGCTCCAAGCTTCAGCCTGGTTAAGTCCAGACATTTGGGAAGTGAACCAGCAGATGGGAGCTCTCTGTTTCTCTCTCTGCCTCTCAAAAAAACAAAGCAAACAACCAAGCAAAAAGTTAAAAACAAAGCACAGTAAGGGAAACTGAAATGTTATGAAAACTCCTGTGTCTGCCACAGGACAGGACCTGCCTTTCAGGTTTGCTGGTTCGCCCTGCGGCACGGCCAACCAAGGGCAAAGCTGCAGAGCCAGCCATCCACACCCTGTGTCAGTGCAATCCCTGAGGAACAGGTGATTAGGACACACGGAAGCCCGAGACACCCCTTACACGTTTAAACACAGAAGTCAAGAGAACTTACTTCAATGTTCTCCACGATTCTCGTGACAACTGAGGCGGTGACTGAGTACCAGTAGGACTCCCCTTTCTGCTGGCGGTCACTCTACAAAGGAAAGAGCCAGTGTTAGCAGCATGCAGGCCTCTGCTCATCTTGCCTGGGTCACCACAGCTGCCTCGCCCTCTGCCTTGCCTTCCACTTCTCCTCCAGGGCGTGAAGCAGCGCTTTCTTGCGTTCCCTTTCCAGCAGCTTCTCTTTCTCATCGTTGAAGTCCTGTGTTCTCTCAGGGGCTCCAATTACGTGCAGACTGGAGATGGAGATCACCCAAGGGTCCACGTGGGGGCGATAAAAGGGAATCTGAAGGGTTACTTTCCCAATCAAACCTGGAAAAAGGGAAAGTCTTGTTAAATGCCTGTACGCACCTCTAATTCTTCCCATCTTAATGAAGTTTTTCTTAGTTTTGTTTAAGAAGCATGTATTAATTTTGCCACTTATTTTTTATTTAAAAACAAGCAGGTTTTTGCACACATGAAATGGGCGTAAGCAAGCTGAGATCTGTAAGAATGAGGCATGAGGAATAAAGCTGGAAAATGTTCGGGGGTGGGGGGTGGCAATATGGCATAGCAGGTGAAGCCGCCGCCTGCAGTGCCGGCATCCCATATGGGCACCAGTTCAAGTCCCAGCCGCTCCACTTCTGATCCAGCTCTCTGCTAACGGCCACGGAAAGCAGTGGAAGATGACCTGAAAGAAAACTCCTGACTCCTGGCTTCAGAACAGCCCAGTTGCAGCCATTGCAGCCATTTGGGGAGTGAACCCAGCAGATGGAAGACCTCTCTGTCTCTGCCTCTAACTCTGCCTTTCAAATAAATAAATAAATCACTTTATCCTATACAATGCAACATCTTTCCTCTGGAAACTTTCTCTTCCCACCTGGACTACATCTTAAACTTCCTTCTTCCTTCCCGTGGCACCCATATTAGCCCATGGACACAAAACTAACTTGCTAATTACTGACTTACTGGTTAAGCACTCAGGGGAGTTACCAGACTACACTACGTCCAATCTTGAAGATGCCCAGCCCACAGTGAGGTGCAAGTAACACTGCAATGACACAGTCAGTACAGGATTCCCAGTCTCCCTGACAACCTGGCCTGACGACAAGGCTAAATAGCAGCCGGCGCCGCGGCTCACTAGGCTAATCCTCCGCCTTGTAGCGCAGGCACACCGGGTTCTAGTCCCGGTCGGGGCGCCGGATTCTGTCCTGGTTGCCCCTCTTCCAGGCCAGCCCTCTGCTGTGGCCAGGGAGTGCAGTGGAGGATGGCCCAAGTGCTTGGGTCCTGCACCCCATGGGAGACCAGGAGAAGCACCTGGCTCCTGGCTTCGGATCAGCGCGGCACGCCGGCCACGCCGGCCATTGGTGGGTGAACCAACGGCAAAAAGGAAGACCTTTCTCTCTGTCTCTCTCTCTCTCACTGTCCACTCTGCCTGTCAAAAAAAAAAAAAAAAAAAAAAAAAAAAAGGCTAAATAGCCCCGATTCATGATACTTATTCTCCAAGTCAAGCCTCATAGAATATAAACCCTCTTAAAATTTGATTTAAAACAGCCAAGTCACCACAACAGAAAAAATATGTGAGAATGTCTCAACTGTCCTAATATGTCCCTCCAAGATCCACACAGCCAACCAATATTCTAGCTCTGAGAGCAGCACAGGTTAACAGAGTGTGCTTAGTACCCACTAAGATCTGTGATGCAAGTGGGATCCAGCTGTGAGATTTAAGGCACAACAATATCATTAACAATGGTATTTCAGGGCCAGTGCTGTGGCACAGCAGGTTAAACTGCTGGAATCCTATATCAGAGCATTGGTTCAAGTCACAGCTACTCTACTTCCAATCCAGCTCCCTGCTGATGTACCTGGGAAAGCAGCAGTGAACCAGTAGAAGCAGTGAACCAGTAGAAAGCTCTCTCTCTACGTATATATACACATATGATTGTCTCTCAAGAAAATAAATTTTTTTTTTTTTGACAGGCAGAGTGGACAGAGAGAGAGAGAGAGAGAGAGACAGAGAGAAAGGTCCTCCCTTGCCGTTGGTTCACCCTCCAATGGCAGCCGCGGCCGGCGCGCTGCAGCCGGCGCACCGCGCTGATCCGATGGCAGGAGCCAGGAGCCAGGTGCTTCTCCTGGTCTCCCATGGGGTGCTGGGCCCAAGCACTTGGCCCATCCTCCACTGCACTCCCTGGCCACAGCAGAGAGCTGGCCTGGAAGAGGGGCAACCGGGACAGAATCCAGCGCCCCGACCGGGACTAGAACCCAGTGTGCCGGCGCCGCAGGCGGAGGACCAGCCTAGTGAGCCGCGGCGCCGGCCAAAAATAAATATTTTTTAAATGGTATTTTTAACAACAGCAAGTATTGTTATTGTCATCCAGTAACAAATTTAAAAACTTTACAACAAATAATTTTTTTTTTTTTTTGACAGGCAGAGTGGACAGTGAGAGAGAGAGAGACAGAGAGAAAGGTCTTCCTTTGCCGTTGGTTCACCCTCCAATGGCCGCCGTGGCCGGCGCGCCGCACTGATCCGATGACAGGAGCCAGGTGCTTCTCCTGGTCTCCCATGGGGTGCAGGGCCCAAGCACTTGGGCCATCCTCCACTGCACTCCCTGGCCACAGCAGAGAGCTGGCCTGGAAGGGGGGCAACCGGGACAGAATCCGGCGCCCCGACCGGGACTAGAACCCGGTGTGCCGGCGCCGCAAGGCGGAGGATTAGCCTAGTGAGCCACGGTGCCGGCCTACAACAAATAATTTAAAAAGTAGGATGCTACCTCATTTGCCCTGCCACAGCGCTGGCCCCTTGGTCATCATTCTTAAGGTTTCTTCCTCACTTGTCAATCCCTTTGCCTTTGCTGCTAGGAGTTCATCTATCACTTGAAATGACTTCAAGAAAACCTAATTCTTTTGAAAGATTTCTATTCTACCTCATCTAACAACTGACTTGCTTTGCACTTGGATTTTTTTTTTAATTTATTTATTATAATTGTTTGAAAGAGAAACAGAGGGAGGAAGAGAGATCTTCAGACCACTAGCTCACCCCCCAAAAGCCTGCAACAGTAGGGCTGGGCTGGGATGAACCAAACCCAGGAACCGGAAACTCAATCTGAGTCTCCCAGGTATGCGGCAGGGATCCAACCATTCGAGCCATCACCTGCTGCCTCGCAGGGTGTGCACCTGCTGGAAGCTGCGACTGAGAGCAGAGCTGGCACCTGAACCCAGGCACTCTGCTGTGGGACGGCGGCGTCTCAGGCAGCATCTTAACTGGGAGACCACTCACCCCTGTTCTTGTATTTTATTGAATATAAGCACCCAAAATACGGGAAAGGCTGGCGTAAACAGGTTATTGTTGAGGAATGAAAGGCATCTGAACAGGGACTAATTTTAGAAGTGGCCGGTCATTAGTGGCTACTTTTATTCTATGATAGTTTTTTACTTCCTTAGCCAATCTAGCACTTACTAAACTTCTGTAGTAACTGCTTACATCCACTGACCATGCCAGGCCCTGCCCTGAGCCAGTGTAACACAGTAACTCACCTGCCCCATCCAAAGCACCTGCGATACAGGTACCTCTGCTGTCTCATCTCCAAAGTGCGGAAGCACACGGAAGTAACCTCCCCAGTCGAGCTCACTGCTGTGGTCTGACTATGATTTCTCCCACTCAAACCCCGAGGCCTGAACACCACTGGGGCCTGATTCTCAATGTGGCACTGTCAGGGGGCCAGTCCTTGGGAGGTAAAACCCTCATGAATGGACCGATGTCTTTTCCAGGAGACTGGACCAGGTCTCTCAGAAGTGAATTAGGCCTCAGGGCTGGATCAGAGTGGGTTGTTATAAAGCAAGTCCAGGGGCTAGCACTGGGGTGCAGCAGGTTAAGCTCCCACTTGGCAATGCCCACATCCCATGTGAGTAATAGTTTGAGTCCCGGCTGCTCCACTTCCAATCCAGTTCCCTGCCAATGTGCCTGGGAAAGCAGCAGGAGATGGCCTGGCACCTGGGCCCTGCCACCCACATAGGAGACCAGGATGGAGTTCCCGGCTCCAGGCTTCTGCAAGGTCCAGCTCTGGCCTTTACAGCCATTCAGGGACTGACCAGCAGGTGTAAGACACTGCACTCTCCCTCCCTCCATCTTTCTCTTTGAAACGGCAGATGCAGGATCTCTCTGTCTCTCTCTCCCTTTTTCTCTCTAACTCTATCTTTCAAATAAATAACTAAATCTTAAAAAAAAAAAAAAAAGGCAAGTCTGGCTCTTTTCAGCCCTCTCTTGCTTCGTTTCTTTTTTTTTTTTTTTAAGATTTATTCATTTATTTACACAGAGAGGAGAGGCAGAGAGAGTGAGAAAGAGAGAGAGAGAGAGAGAGAGAGAGGTCTTCCATCTGCTGGTTCACTCCCCAACTGGCCACAACAGCCGGAGCTGCGCCGATCCAAAGCCAGGAGCCAGGAGCTTCTTCCAGGTCTCCCACGCAGGGGCCCAAGGACCTGGGCCATCTTCTACTGCTTTCCCAGGCCATATCAGAGAGCTGGATCAGAAGTGGAGCAGCCGGGACTCGAACTGGCTCCCATATGGGATGCCAGCGCTTCAGGCCAGGGTGTTAACCCGCTGCGCCACAGCGCGGGCCCCATCTTGCTTTGTTTCTTAACACATGCTCTCTTGCATGTGCCGGCTTGTCCTGCCTTTTCACTGTCCACGGTGCTCACCAAAGGCCAAGCAAATGCCAGCACCGTGCTCATGCGTCTCCAGAACTGTGAGCCTATACAGGCCTCTTTCCTTTCTAAAGTCAAGCCCCCAGTATTTTGTGATAGCAACAGAAAACAGACACAGCTCTTACTCAACAGAGTGAACTGGCCCTCAGTAATGTCTATAAAAAAAACTCATACATGAGGAAGCCTAAGGACCACCTGGGGAACCTGTTCAATGTACATGGATTCTGATTCAGCAGGTCTAGGAGCCCCCTGACCACCCCACCACAACCCCAGGGCCATCCTGACTCAAGTGGCCCAGAGATCACACTGAAACACTGATCTAAACTCTAACACTTCCAACCTTCCTCTTCCTGGTCAAACAAATACAAACTCCAGGACTCATGGCTTTTTGTTTTTTGGTTTTTCTTTTAAAGATTTTATTTATTTGAAAGAGTTAAGGAGAAAGAAAAAGGGAAGGAGGGAGGGAGGGAGAGGGAAGAAGGGAGAGATCAACATCCCATCCACTTGTTCTCTTCCCAGATGGGCACAGCGGTCAGGGCTGGGTCAGGCTGAAGTCAGAAGCCATGAGCCCTATCCGAGTCTCCCCCATGGGTGCAGGGTCCAAGCACCTGGGCCATCTTCCACTGCTTCCCAGACCATTAGCAGGGGGCTAGATTGGAAGTGGAGCAGCTGGGACTCGAATCAGTGCTAATATGGGATGCCAATGTTACAGGCGGTGGTTTAACCCACTACACACAGAGCCAACCTGCGGACTCATGCTTTTACATTACAAACAACATGACACTCAAAATTTCTTCCCACTCCTCTAGTTCCACATACCAGCTTTGACTTCAAATGGCAATTCCAGTTCTTTCAAAGCATCTTTCTTTAACGGCAGGTTTTCTAATTCAACAGCACCTAAAAATAAAAACATCATAAAATATTCATCCATCAAATATAGTAGATGCCTACTGTGTGCAAAGTATTGAAGGCTAAAGGGAAAACTCCACCATCAGATCAGGGCCATACAAGGCGCTGGGCTGTGCTGGCACCAACCATGCTCTTCATCTCCACTCCCCCCGACCCGCCACTCCATCATGTACATCACAGCTGCAGCTCGGCAGCCAACCAAGAGTCTGCACAAGGCTCTAACTTCTGTGACAGGCAAGATAGGTTTGCATACTTTATATGATATCTGTTGCCTATTCTTTCTTCACAAGCTTTTAAAAATGTAAAAGCCATTCTGGACTTGCAGGTCAGAGACAGCCCACTGGCCAATTTACGGGCCCCTTCGTCATGGCTACTATCTCCCAGAGCACCCTCAACGTCGATGCACTAGGGTCAAGGGCAGGCCCCAGGGCCCCAGCCACTGACCCAATAAAGCAGCATCTCTGGGACTGAAACCCAGCTATCTGCAAAGCTCCCCCAGCCCACCCCTGCAGAATGAGTTAGGACACACAACGTTCCAGAGCCCATAGTTCAGCTAATTAAAACTGGCCATCCAAAGGAACCACACTTTCCCCTCTGGGAGACCACCTCCACATGTTCTCTGTACCTCCACTGCAGGTGCAACACCTGGTCTGAAAGCAAAGGAGTGAAAAGGATGAAAACTCAAATCCAAAAGCACACAGACCACAGGGCAGCCAGACCTGCCTCGCCCAGCCACGCAAGCCATCCGTTCACACACACACATAAATCCTACTCCATACGAGGCACTGTGCTGGCCACTGAGAACACAGAGAGAGGAGCCATGGTTTCACCAAATGGTTTGCAGGACACAAGACAACTTCTGAGCCACTTTAATCTGAGAAACGTGTCTTCAAGACAGGGAGTACAGACAACAGCCACTGACTGTAAGAAAGGACAAGCCTTTCACTCCAAATACAAAGTAATGTGGGAACTTGGTTATTTTCCCTTTAAGTGACTGCTCAGACCTTGTGAGTCTTTGGTTTCTAAAGATTTCAAATCTAGCAATTTGGCAGGTTCTGAGCAAATGCACTCAACTTATTTTCTGACATTTGCAAGATTTTGTCCAGATGGGGCTCCAAAGACTTTTAAGACTAACCAAAAGGAAACACTAACAACCCCAGCAAAACAGTCTAACTTCCACATGGGGGAGAAAAATATCATTGAGAGGGAGAAAAAAAATGCAAAATGTCTTCCTTAGCTGAAAGTGACTCCATTAAAGGAGGCAAGCAGATATGTAGCTGTTAGTACTTTCGAAGAACAGAATTTGAACTTGGAACCAGCCTATTCTCACTGCCCAAATCTGTCACAAAGGCCAGCAGGCCCTGCTTCCCCTGGCTGCTCTACGGCCTTGGGAAGTGGTGAGCGCTCTAGGCGACTCTGACCATGAAAACTTACACTAAAGTGCAGAAAGCAAGAAGGTTTCCCAAGAGGAGGAAACAGGAAAGAATGAGACGGAAAAATAGTTCACAAAAAGCAAAAAGCAAAGAGATCAAACAACACAGCTGTGCTTCAAGACTGAGCGCTTCCTAACGCCCCCACTCGGACATGCATCCCACTGGCCCTGCTGGGCAAGGTCCCTCCAGGGAGACAGGTAATAAAGCACCCAAAGTAGATGAGTGTGTTACAAATGGCAACGTTTCAGACAACTTATAAGCTTATTCATCGATGTTTCATCCCCAAATTTCTCATCTCAGATGAGCAGGAAATCTATTCGCTACAACCAGGATGCACATACAGGGTGGTCGTTTGTCAGCAATCTGTAATCACCACTGGACGCAGAGTTTATAAAAAGAACAAGCAGGGGGAACTGCAGTTTGGGGTTACAGAAACACAGACCTGCTCACGGGCCAACGCTCGGCCCCTCCATGTGGCCCCACACCATTCCAAAGGTGCCCTGCAAGTCCTGCCTGGAGTGAAACCCTGAGACCCTCTCAAAAGCCACCTCACAACAGCCTCCCCAGAAAGAAAGGTCCTCCACCTTCACCCTCCACGGCACCGTGCCTTGCATTCCACACAGAGATGCAATGCCTTGTGTTACTGTGTAACTTATCTCAACAGGCCAACTGCTCTCTGAGGGTGGGTGGGGATTATAGAATGTGGGTAGAATAATAAGAGAGATTCCACTTAGGGAGATCTGACACTGTGCCAAGCACTTTGCATGCATTACCTTATTTAATTCTCACAACACAAGGAAACACTACTTGTTTCTCAGGTTGAGGCGAAGAACATAGCTTGGAGGATAAGCAACTTGTTTAAAAATCACAGAGCTGGTAAGTGACAGCACCGAGTCCACGGTAGATGCTCAGACCTGGCAGCAGAAGGGACAGTGGGCAGAGAGGCTTCAGCCGCCTGCCCAGGCACAGGCAGCACAGAGGGCTGCTAAGTGGTGAAACCAGGCTTGGCCCTAAGCCTGAACTTGGGATCTACTACTGATCTCCCTTTGGGTATCAGTTCAGTTCTGTAAAAGCAAGAGCTCAATTAACGTTTGCTGAATGACTAAACAAGCGAAATCTCAACCCCAGTGCTGGCTCTGTCCTTCCACCACTCACATGTCACACATTTTGCATGACTCTTAGCCTAAGCACAATCTGCTCTTGAAATCCAACCCAGCAGCCAATCCTATGCTGATGATCATTAGAATGACAGTAACGATGACTAACGCTGATGATGTACTACTTAGCTCTTTCACCCATATTAATTTGTTCTGGGTCCTTAGAACTTTATGAAACAATCAATATTAGCTCCAACTCACAGAACGAGAAACTGAAGCATGAAGAGTGGAGGAATTTGCCCAAGTTACTGGTAAATGGAGGAACTGGGATTCAAACCCCCAGTCTGGCTAAAATCCATAACCTTGACCACTACTTCAGTCTCCTTTGCATCCAGAACAGCCTCTGTTTTCACATGGGTTGAAATAGCATTCTCATTCCTATCTAGGACCTGCCCCCCCAACACTGCATCACCGAGATCAAAGAACCAGTGTCGACTTCTTTACAGAGCCATTCTCTCAGGGCACTGCAAGGCTCCAAGATTCTGACCAGGCATTATGGTGTGCGTTGGATCCATATACATGGGGTACCACATTAATACCAGTTATGAAGGAAAAAGCAAACAATTCTCAAACTCCACAAGTTCATTCAAAGCCATAGAGAACAGTACATTTTTTAAAAAAGGAAATAAGCATAGGAAAGTAACTAGAGGAACCATATGACACACACAATTGTAACAAGGTATGTTTTGTGGGGCCAGCATTGTGGCATAGTGGGTAAAGCCGCTGCCTGCAGCGCCAGCATCCCATATGGGCACTGGTTCGAGTCCCAGCTGCTCCACTTCCGATCCAGCTCTCTGCTGTGGCCTGGGAAAGCAACAGAAGATGGCCCAAGTCCTTGGGCCCCTGCATCCATGTGGGAGACCCCGAGGAAGCTCCTGGCTCCTGGCTTCAGATCAGCCCAGCTCCGGCAGCTGCGGTCATCTGGGAAGTGAACCAGCGGATGGAAGACCTCTCTGTCTCCCTCTCTACCTCTGTAACTCTGCCTTTCAAATAAATAAATAAATCTTAAAAAAAAAAAAAAAAGATATACTTTGTTATTGGTCTTCCCTCTGAGAAGTCAGCACAAATTTCTCCATTCACTCAGTTCTTCAGCACCACAAGTCCCCCAACAGCCCTGAGGACCTCTCTCACGAGCAAGGCTGTGGTTTGCAGTTCTCTCTCTAGGCCTGTCCTTCACACCCCCCAACTCAGCGTCAGGCCCGGCGTATCTGAGAACCAGACACGGAGCACCAGCCAGGTGAGCAGGACCCTACTGCACTGTGAAGGCATCCTCTTCCCTGACGGGTCACTTTCACTTTCTATTTAGCTCCCTTCTGAGGACAGGAGGAAAAGCAGAACAGGAGCACCCGCTTCTGCTCCCAGCGCAAGGAAGGCGGGGGGGGGGGGGGGGGGAGACCGTGAGGCTCCCGCAGCCTCCTGCGGCTGCCGTCCCTGACGAGATGGGTAGGAAAACTTGGCGAGGAACAGCTGCAGGGACAGGCGATCCACGGGTACCCTACTGGCACACTAGGCAAACATCTCCATCAGCGCTGGTTCTGCCAGCTAGTCCTAGTCCTCACCAAAACTCACTGCCAGGGAGCTGCGGGCCCCGTGGCATTGAGACCTCCCTTCCATTTCCTGTGAATTCACACGCCTGCAGACTGACCCCATCCCATCTCGCTAGACTCGTTAAAGGGTCCCACACTGAGCTGACCAAAGCGAATTTAAATCAAAACAAACAGGAGAAAATGCAGCTTCCCAGTCCCATGCCAAACCACGGGACTACACTCGCCAGGTACAGGGCAGTAAGACCTAAACTGTCTCCAGCTTTAGGTACTTCACTACTAAGTAAGACCCCATAAAGCCCACCAAAGCCCTCATAACAATGGATTTTAAAGCTTCTGTTGGGTGTCTATTTTAGGCCAGTAGGCTAGTGGCTTTTAAATATTATTCTAGGGGCCAGCACTGTGGCACAGTAGGTTAAGCATCCACCTGCAGCACCGGCATCCCATATGGGCACTGCTTCAAGTCCCGGCTGCTCCACTTCCGATCCAGCTCTCTGCTACGGCCTGGGAAAGCAGTGGAAAATGGCCCAAGTGTTGGGGCTGGCGCTGTGGTGTAGTGGGTAAAAGCCGCCGCCTGCAGTGCCAGCGTCCTATATGGGCACCGGTTCGAGACCTGGCTGCTCCACTTCCGATCCAGCTCTCTACTATGACCTGGGAAAGCAGTAGAAGATGGCCCAAGTCCTTGGGCCCCTGCACCCATGTGGGAGACCCAGAAGAAGCTCCTAGCTCCTGGCTTTGGATCAGCACAGCTCTGGCCGTCGCAGCCATCTGGGGAGTGAACCAGCGGATGGAAGACCTCTCTCTCTGTCTCTCCTTCTGTCTGTCTGTAACTCTGCCTCTCAAGTAAACAAGTAAATCTTTTTTGTTGTTGTTGTTGTTGTTGTTGACAGGCAGAGTTAGACAGTGAGAGAGAGAGACAGAGAGAAAGGTCTTCCTTCTGTTGGTTCACCCCCCAAATGGCCGCTATGGCCGGCGCGCTGCACTAATCCGAAGCCAGGAGCCAGGTGCTTCTCCTGGTCTCCCATGGGGTGCAGGGCCCAAGCACTTGGGCCATCCTCCACTGCACTTCTGGGCCACAGCAGAGAGCTGGCCTGGAAGAGGGGCAACTGGGACAGAATCCGGCACCCCAACCGGGACTAGAACCCAGTGTGCTGGCGCCACAGGCAGAGGATTAGCCTAGTGAGCCGTGGCGCCGGCCCATTTCCCTTTTTCTAAAGAAACTGAGGCTCAGTATTTCAATATTAGTTATTGTTCACACAGCTAATAAGCAACAAAGTCGTATCTGAAGCCAAAGTACATGAAATTGTCACTACATCATGGCTGCCTCCACAATGCTCCATAAAGCTAGGGAAAAAAAAAAAAGTCTAGCACAGTAACCAGTAGGATCATCTGTTTTGTTTCTTAAAAGATTTTAATCATTCCCTAAAATCTACACCAAAATAGCTACATACTTAAGTTACTCTCTAACAATCAGCAGGGTCATTTGCAAGAACATAATTACCTTTTAGACATATATAGTACAAAGCTATCTGGGCATTAGCTTTTCTTACTATCAAAACAACAAAAACAGATATAAAAACCAGAAATGCCCCCTGCAAAGCCATACTTTACCAAAGAGAAATATACGTACTCACCTTTCAGAAGTGCAACCGAGAGCTGGTCAGTGTTCAGGTTATTGACATATTTCCCCAAATAGGTATTGAGAACCCAGGCTACAAGACCTTCCAACATGACTATATCCTCAGAAAAAGATGTTTAAAAATCATGGATCTTTTTTTTTATTTTTCTCTCTCATGGTCATGGAAGAATCTATGAAAGGGGAAAAAAAGGAAATCAACAGAAAACTGGGTGATTGTCTGAGCTGATTTCCTACTCTATCTGCCTGGAGGTGGACAAAAGTGCAGAACAGTAAATGCAGGGCCAAACCAACACCTGTATGTTTTGATACACCTGCAAGGAACAGTCACTCTTACAGGCTGGCCAAAAATGACCTCCAATCCAAAACGTGTGTCTTCTTTATGTACCCGCTCACTGAACTACTTGCGGTTAGTGATTTGCGTGGGGATGAGACTGGCTCATCAGACGTTCTCGGGTGGGCATGATCCGCCTGCGCCCAAGACACTTGATCATCCTCACTGGCTACATCCTGCTACTGGCATCTGTGAGCAGACAGAGCGGAAGCTGCTGTCTCTACACAGCACAGACAAGCCCCACCAGAGAATTATCCGGCCCAAAGGTCAGCAGAGCCCGCACTGCCCCGTGAAGGCAAAAATGCCCTAAGGAGCTCTCCGGATGAACTTCACACTCGGCAGTGATCCTAAGGGTTCTCGAATCCACTCTTGAGGCTGTTCATATCGTGTAGACGAGAGGGAGCAGGCAGCGCGACGTCATTATTCTTAATGATGACATTAGGGACCTAGACCTGCATTAGGGACCTGAGCACCGGCCACAGCATTACAAACGTCTGTTACAGTAAGTGGTGTCGGTCAGTACTGTGAAAAGCACGTGGACTCCGTTCAGTCTTACACAAAGTCAACGTGAGGGTAACCAGGCGATCGCTCAGGCAAGTCCTCAGCCGGCTCAGGTAGATCCCCATTAGCACTGTGACCCCTCTGTGACCCACACCTTGCTCTCGGGCACCCATCGGCCACCACGCCAGCTGCTCCAGATTCCGCAGGGCACGCATCCTGCTTGGAAGCCGCCTGCTCTCAGGATTCTCTCCAAGCACTGGCCCCCTCGAGTGAGAGGGTCATGTGAGTGCAGGGAGACAGCTCATCCCAAGGGTCCTGCCACCTAAGCAAGACCCCATCACAGGGCCCCCGGGGGGTCCCAACCACTGCCTTTAACTAGCCTTCGGGGGGGGAGGGGGGTCGCTCGGGCTAACCCACTCTCTGGGGCAGTCTGACTGTCCACAGTAGCTTACCCTTCCAGAAAAGACACTTTGATTTATTAACGATGACAGTTAGAAAAAAAAAAAAAAAAAAAACAGCACTTGGCAAAATGGCTTGCCTAATTTCCGAAGATGTTTAAAGCTACAGCTGTGCAAAGCCAGGCACCTGCTAGGGGTGACCGGGTATTTAAGAAAAGGTTTTATGAACTAAGTTTTTAAAATGGGCATTTGACCATCTGAATAAAAGAAACACGTCTCTATTCTGTCAGCAAGTGAATGGGAGCAACAAGTGAGCTCCAAACACAAGAGGAGCCGCGGGTTGCTGCTGCGATCGCCCTGGGAGCCAGCTCCCAGCAAGGCGCGAACCACCGCGGGCTGCACGCGAGCCCTACCCAGCTCAGGCCCAGCCCCGCTCACCCTGAGGACAGGGGAATCTTCGCCGGGAACAAGACACGCGGGCGCCGGCGCTGTCAGCCCTGCTCGGCGCTCTGGGCCCAGCCCAGAAAGCGTCCATGAGCTCTGCCGAGCATCTAGCCCGGGCTTGGGGCCGCTTCAAGGATTCCCCTAAGGAAGCCGGACTGGCCAGAATCCCACAGCGCTCACACGCCAGTGCATCGGGGCTTCTGGGCGGCCGCCTGGCCGGAACCCCCACCCGGCTCCCCCTCCCCGGGGAGGCGGGCAGGTGACACTGGGATGGGCGCTCAGCCCACGGCGGGCACACCGCCGGGAGTGACCTTGGGCCAGGCCCCTCCCCGGACAGGCGGCCAGACCGGGAGTGGAAGGCCTGGTAACCGGAGCGGGGCGCCCCTCCCCGAGGCGGCCGGGAGCTCCCAGGCTGGGGGGACGGGGGCCCCACGGGAACCGGAGCGCCCACAGCCCCCTCGCCGCTCCTCCTGCTCCCCAAACCCTGAGCCTCCCCCTGCAGGGTCCCGCGTGAAGTCTGGAGCGAATGGCGCCGTGGGGGTCCCACGCCCGGGAGGAGGGGCTCGGCCGGGGGGTGACCGCAGGGGCTAGGGGCGAAGCCGGGCGTGAGCGACCCCCCGAGGGCTAGTTAGGACTCTCCGGACAGCTGACGCCCCCTTCCTGGGCGTGAAATGAGGGCTCGCACGTGCAGACCCAGGCCCAGGCGGAGAGCTGCGAACTGACAGCCCCCCAGCCCCGACGCGCCAGGCTGCCGGGACCCCGGGAAGGACGCCGCGGTCTGGAGGGGACTCGGACTTCCCAGCACACGGACGCCGCGATCCCGGGAGGCTGTGCCTCAGGGGTCCCTGCGAGAGCGGCGCACCCGGACGCCCAGGGATCCCGGAGGAGCCCGGCCCGGGCGGCCGGAGGCCCGGACGCCGGGGTCCCCGCGCCGCGCTCCCGAGGGTGGGCCCGCTCCCCGGGTCTGAGGCGGCCAGGAGCGGCCGACTGCGCGCCCGGCCCTGCCCGCCGCCCGGCGCGGCCCCGCGCGGCCCCTACCTGTGGTGTCCCCGGCCCGCCGCCCCAGCCCGGCACTGCGCGGCGCCTCCGCTCCGCCGCTCCTCAATGGCGCAGGCCGGCGGCGCTCGGGCCCGCCCCGACCCGATCAATCGAGCGGGCGACGCGCCGGCGCCTGGCCAGCCGAGCGCCGAGCCATCGAGGAAGCGCCCCCTGGCGCCGGCTGCCTGTGCGTGCAGCCGCCCGACCAGCCCCGTGGACGGACCGGGAGACTGACTCACTCCCGGGGGAGCGCAGGGCCCCGACAGTTCTGGGACCCCGGATTCTTCTACAACGCCCTGCTCTCCATCCACCAGGGCGGTGCGGCTGCCCTTCCTTCTGGGTCACCCAGTCTGTTCTCCGGCAGCCGCTGGGGGCCGTCAGGGCAAACCATGGCCTCGTGCTTCTAAGGGCATCCCAGACCCGCCTCGGTTAACACGCACCACCACCCCCACCCAGAGCGCGCCCCAAGGTCCCAGCCGCCCTTTCTAGGACGCCCTCTGCCCCAGCTGCATTCAGTTCCTGCCTCCGGAGCTTTGCATTTGCCATTGTCCCTGCTGGAGACGCTGTCCCCCAAGCCGCCGCTGTCCAAAGGAAATACAATGCGAGTACACACGTGGGCAACGTGGGTGATTTTACAAATGTACTAGTTAATGCATTTCTTTAAAAAAAAAAGATTTATTCATTTTTATTGGAAAGGCAGAGTGACAGAGAGGGAGAGACAGCGAGAAGGACATCTTCCATCCACTAGTTCACTCCCTAAATGCCTGCCACAGCCTGGTCTGGGCTGGCCACAGCCAGGAACCTGGAACTCCATCTGGTCTCCCACGTGGGTGGCCGGTCCCAAGCACCTGAGCTATCACACGCTGCTTTCCCAGGTGGATGAGCCGTCAGCTAGATTGGACTCTGGAGGAGACGTGGGTGGGTGTGTCCCAAGAGGCGGCTTAACCAGCTATGCATAAGACCCAGCTCAGTACATTTTTAAAAGTTGAAATTAATGAACAGTATATAAGCCAATACGCCCCAAATATGATCATCTCAACATGCAGCCAACAGAAAACGATTTATGAATGAAGTACAAGTTGTGCCCCGGGCACATTGCCGTACAAACTGCGCCCATTTCGAGTGCTTAGTGTCGCCCTGTGGCTTACGGCTACAGAAGAGCTCTGGTTGTTCCCAGAGCTTGCTTCAAGTGTTCCACCTCACCGACAAGTTCACCGGAAGTTCCCCTCCGTATCCCCGCTGTGCTGTCTTCATAGAACTCAACACCACTGGAGCTGATCTTATTCTTTGTAGACACAGGCTGTCATGCTTCCCCACCCTGAAAACTCCATGGATGCAGACTTTTCCTTTTCCTTTTTTTTTTTTTAAGATTTATTTATTTTATTTGAAAGTCAGAGCTACACAGAGAGGAGAGGCAGAGAGAGAAAGAGGTCTTCCATCCCATGGTTCACTCCCCAGTTGGCCCCAACGGCCGGAGCTGTGCCGATCTGAAGCCAGGAGCCAGGAGCTTCTTCCAGGTCTCCCACATGGGTGCAGGGGCCCAAGCACTTGGGCCATCTTCCACTGCTTTCCCAGGCCACAGCAGAGAGCTGGATCGGAAGTGGAGCAGCCGGGTCTTGAACTGGTGCCCATATGGGATGCTGGCGCTTGAGGCCAGGGCATTAACCCGCTGTGCCACAGCGCCAGCCCCCAGACTTTTCCTTTTTCACAAAGGATTCTTCAACACCTAGACATTGCCTGGCTGGCACGGAGAAACCTCAAGGGAGCCGGCGCTGCGGCACTTCCGGTTGAGCAGTCACCTGTGATACCCAAGCCCTAGATGCTCCACTTCCAACCCAGCTCCCTGCTAATATGCCTGGGTAGCCACGAATGATGGCTCAAGTGTGTGGGCCCCTGCCACCCACACAGGGAACCTGGACGGAGCTCCTGGCTCCTGCTTCCACCTGGCCCGGCCACAGCTGTTGAAAGCATTTGGAGCACTGAGCCAGCTCTCATAAAGCCAGAAGATACAGGAAACAGGACGCGAGGTTGTAATGGGGAATTCACCATAGTAATTAACACTCCCGACGCCAACTTAACAGGGGCACCTACGGACTGACTCATCCATCATCAAGGCCTGATTTCGGGGGAAGTGTTAGCTACAGGAAAAAGGCCAGGCCTCACGCTGTACTGATCCCTGTCCAGGAAATTCGGGAAAAAACAAAAGTGTACTGGCAGCAGGCAGGTCAGAGGTTGCCAGGTGACTGGGGAGGAAGGAGGGGGTGGCCTAGGAAGGGGCAAGAACAAATCTGGTGGGGAGGGCTGACGAGACTGCTCCCTATCGACAGTTGTATACTGTTAAAATTCATTTCAGTGTACACCTAAAATTAACATATTGTGCTTTATATAAATTATCCATCAATAAAACTGATATATATATATATAATTTTTAAAGGAAAAGAGAGGGAGAGAGACTGAGAGAGATCTTCCATCCTTCAGTTCACTCCCCGAATGCCCACAAAAGCTGAGGCTGGGCGAGCGTGGACTCCATCCAGATCTCCCACACGGGCAGCAGGAGCTCAAGTCCTTGGCCATCACCTGCCGCCTCCCAGGCAGGGTGTGCACTGGCAGAAGGGTGGGTCAGAGGCGGAGGCGGGACTTGAACCCAGGCACTCTGATGTGGAATGTGGGCATCCGGAGAGGTGGCTTAACCTGCTGCGCCACTGCTCCTGCCACGCACATCCTCGAGCTGTTTATTTTTTAAATGCTTGCTGTCACAGAGCAGGGCAGATGCGATGCACAATGAGCAAGACGAACCTAAACAGCGTACATGGCATGGTAGGCTCTGAAGAGAAAACCATGCTGTGTCAAAGGACAAAAGTACGACACACTTAGCTTAAAGATCTCAGCTGGCTTTGTGGTGCGGTTCTAGAAGTGGGTAACATTTCATTCCATAAAATAGATAAGTGTTTGTGATGGGGTGAGCAGAAGAGGTTGGTTTTATAGAGAAGGACTGACAAAAGCAAAAGCAAAGAGCAAAGAGCAGGCTGGCCATTTCACCGTATTCTTCTCCTAAGACAGGAACAGCAAGACAGAATTCCTTCGTGTAAGGATGAAAGGATATGAGGATCAATCCAGAGGGAACTTTATGGTCCTGCTTCTCTCTCTCATTCCCCCGATTTCTTGAAAGGTCAGACAGATCACTAGGTTTCAGCTTGGTGACAGGGAACTTGAGCGTGGGTGACTCACTTTTGATTTGTAGTCCAGTCTGTGCAAGAGCCAATATCCCAAACAATGCCCTCCTGCATTTTGTATGTAACAGCTGGGAAGCAAGTGGGAAGGGAGGGGGTACAAGTGTACGTGGGTGGCCAGCAAAGGCCTCCGTGCCCCCGAGGTTCTGACTCAGAGAGTTTGCTGGGGGATCCAGCGCCCCGAGATGATGACTTGGGAAATGCTGAGTCAGCTCTGAGTTCTTACTGTACGTGCCGGGAAACTGAAAGTGAGAAACAGACGGACAGACTCGAGGCCACGCAGAAAGACCACAGGTGATGCAGGACTCTGCTGAAAGCCCAGAGCCCGCTCCGATGTGGCCTCAGGTCTTCCTGCCCCAGGCCACTGGCCTGAGCCACGGCTTCAGCCATTAAACCTGTCAGGGCTTTTGTGGGTACAGTGACCAAGCCACAGCTTGAGACACCAGCATCCCACATCACAACGCCCGGGCTCAATTCCAGCTCAGCTTCCAATTCTGCCTTCCTGCCAGTGGCCACCTGGGACTCGGCAGGTGATGGCTCGAGTAGGTGGATCTCTGCTGCCCACGTGGGAGATTCGGATTGAGTCAAACTCCCAGCTACAGCCTGACCCAGCCCTGGCTGTTGCCGGAATTTGGGGAGGATAGAAGATAAACTCTCCTTATCTGTGTCTCTATCTCTCTGCCTCTCAAATAAACAACAACCTTTAAAAATGAAGTATGGGCCAGCACCGCAGCTCATTAGGCTAATCCTCTGCCTGAGGCACCGGCACACCGGTTTCTAGCCCCGTTCCGGGCACCAGATTCTGTCCCAGTTGCCCCTTTTCCAGGCCAGCTCTCTGCTGTGGCCCGGGAGTGCAGTGGAGGATGGCCCAGGTCCTTGGGCCCTGCACCCGCATGGGAGACCAGGAAAAGCACCTGGCTCCTGGCTTTGGAGCAGCGTGGTGCACCGGCTGCAGCGCGCCGGCCGCAGCGGCCATTGGAGGGTGAACCAAAGGAAAAGGAAGACCTTTCTCTCTGTCTCTCTCTCTCACTGTCCACTCTGCCTGTCAAAAAAAAAAAAAAAAATGAAGTATGGGCTCACATTGTAGTGCAATGGGTTAAGCTGCTGGCTGCAACACTGGCATCCATGTAGGTGCTAGTTCGAGTCCTGGCTGCTCCACTTTCAGTCCACTTCTCTGCTAACAGCCTGGGGAAGCAGAAGAAGATGGCCCAAATCCCTGGTCTTCTGCCACCCACGTGGAAGACCCCAGGGGAGTTCCAGCTTCCTGGCTTCAACCAGGTTCAGCACTGGCCGTTATGGCCATTTGGGGAGTGAGTCAGACAATGAAAGACCTCTGCCTTTCTCTCTCTTCCTCCCCCTGTGTCACTCTGCCACTCAAATAAATAAATAAAATCTTAAAAATTAAAAATAAAGGGAAGAGTTCATAGATTATACGCAAATACCCATTATTTTATAACAGGGATGTAGCATCCGTGGATTTTCATATGCTTCTGTGGGTGAGGGGCTTGGGAGACAGGGGTATCTGGGAAACAGTCCCCCAAGGATATTGGGGGGACAACTGTACACATTTTTCAGTCGTAAGTCTTCCCTACTGGGTGTGCTTTACACTTTGGACATCTCCGTGTGGACTAGCCCTGGTTCAGGAGCTCAACAGTCACCAGCACCTGGTGGCTTCTGTATTTGAAACCCCAGGTCCAGAATATCTCCCGGGATGGGTGATACCATCAGCCCGTGTGGGGAGAAGACAGGACGAAGAAGAGACGCAGGTCAGGGCCAGCCCCTCATCTCCCAGGCTGAGAACCTGGGTGCAGAGAGGGACCGCGGCTGCCCCACTGTGCCAGGCGCACCCCTGGTGTGCCTGACCTCGTGGCTTACCCTAGCAGCCTCTC